GTTTAAAGTGTAAAAAATACACGTGGTCGCCCAGCCTCTCAGGATACCTTGTGTCAGAGTTGCATGTACCCCATGCACACCGTTTGACCATTTTTAAACTTCAAATCTCAGAAAAAGCTCATAAAACCGAACAAACTGACTTTCTGTAATGCATTTCAATGGACGTCCAGGCAGAGAATGTCCCAGTGTATGGGAATGGCTATACGCACTGTGATTGGCTCATCTTGTTTGGGGGTGGGGCTTAGCCATAGGTCAATTCCTCCAGTCCACAAGTGGCCTAAAGCGGACTCTCTGCAGACTTCCAGAGAGTCTGCTTGGGGTGCAGACTTCAGCAGACCTCACTGATTTAATTGCCCACAATTTATTGCAGTGTGGACGTGACGTTGTTTTATTTCTCCAATAGCCGAAAAAAACAAAACTTACGGATCTGTGAAACAGTTACTGTGGCCCAATAACCAAGTACCTTAATGGTGTAGAGCAGAAATAATATTCAACAACATCATGATACAGAGACATGTATAGGGACTCAAAATGAATTGTATTATTGCAGCCTATGTGCAGTGTAATGCTGAATATATATATAGGCTAGAAAACTGTCTGAAAAACAACAAAAGATCTTGTGATGTCACAAATAGACCGACCCAGTTTATTTAGTCCTAGCTCTGCCCTGATTCATAAACACCTCTGTATCTGAATGTCTGCAGTCTGCATGTTGTACAGACTTTATTTTGTTGACTCACAGAACAGCCCTGTATGTGAGGTCTATATCTTGTTATCTGCAGGGTCAGATGAACAGACACTGATTGCAGTTGTTGCTTGAGCATTTCCATGGCAATGAGTAAAACCGTCTTCAGGGCTCTCTGTTAGATTGCGGCCTCTGCCCTCAGATTTTATGTGATGATGGTGAAGTTGTCACAGAGCGTACGACTGAAGTCTGCGAGGGCTCGGCCTGCAGGTCCAGAGGGTGGACATCTGGATTCAGTCTTTGAGGCTGCACTCAGGCAAAGTGCTGCTGTGAGCTAAAAGCTAGTGTGATGTTCACCATGTTAGCTATCTTAGTTTAGCGTGTTAGCATGCTAACATTTGCTGTTTAGCGGTAAACCCAAAGTGCAGCTGAGGCCGATGGGAATGTTTTTTGTTTTGCAGGTATTTGACAAATTAGAATTTGAACCTGACGATGGAGCTAATAAAGAATAAAAGATTAAATGTGTCCCTGTGGGAGATTTCACTGCAATCCATCCATCTAGTAGTTGTAGCGACATAAAAAAACAAGATCCCAGCAGTCTAAAATAAATGAGGACATTGATGGAAATAGAAACCAAGACACTTCATCTATCAACAGACCAACATGTATCGACTCTAGGTCTTCATCAGCGTTTAATAATGACCCTTTCTTGTACTTTTACCTGCCTCACCATCCAGCCATCAGAGCCAAGCAGCACTTCCTCCTTCCTTCCTCCTTTGTGTTATTTAACTTTTATTCAACAGGGAAAACCTCTTGAGATTAAAAATCTCCCATTTCAAAAGTGTGTTGGCCAAGACAGGCAGCAACATAGAACAAACATACAAAATATAAAATATGCAACTCCAAAAAAGCAATATGAAACACACAACCACAACATGAGATTACCACAAGGAAAAACTGTAGCAGACTCCACATCTATGGCGCTGCATACATAAATGCTTGTTAGCCAACCTCTGTACAGACAATTACATCAAGGGATGCACGATGACATCAGCCCATCGCTGGTATCAGCTGATATTGGTTTAAAATAAAATATCAGAATCGGCAAACATGCCAATTTCTGCTGATATGACGAGAGAGAAGACTGGTTGCTCTGTATAATCAAAGGTAGATCAGAACCTTGTGTCAGGTGCTCATGGAGAACAGGAAACAACAGGATAGACAGGGAGGCACTCCAAAAATATAGAGAACAAGGAACGAAGTTAATTAAAATTAAAAATCCTGTATTGCAGTGGATAAATCATTAACAGAGCCAACATGTTTCGACCACTGCAGGTCTTCATCAGGGCTTTAAAAAAGGAGTTTTTACACCTGTTTTACAAATTTCTTAAAACCACCAAAAAGTGAAACACCCTTAGAAAACAAATGATTGTGAATTTTCTTTCTCTATAAATGCAGATAAATCAGACAATGAAATAACAGTACTGCACAAACACAAGTTTCAGTGTCGAGCAGAGTGGTGAAGTCACTGACAGACCGATTTCTTTACAGCCACACTGGTAGTATCACTAAAAACTCTCCATTGCAAGTACAAATCCTGCATTCAGAATTATAAGTCAAAGTACAAGTATTATCAGTAGAATGCACTTCGTGTACACAGCTGGTTGAGGTGGAGCTGATTTATCCACTCCATTCACTTTTGAACAGTTTATCCTGCACCGCTGCATCATATTTTACTAACTGATCATGTTTTGTAGCTAAAATCTTAATCTGCAAACTACAGCTGTCAGATGAATTAAAATGGAAATACCCAAGTACTCATGTACATTACTGGTTGATACTTGAGTCACAGAAGATGTGCCATGAAAGACAAGAGCAAGTTAATGAGGATTGAAGTCTGTGAGTACATCAGTGAACATGCTTTTAGGTTTCCTTTGAACTAAGATATGATAAGTAATGTTTCCTGTGTAACTCATAGACACAACCACAGTGCAGTTACTCAGACACCAACAGCAGTGTTACCGAAAGTATCATCATATCTGTACAGATGACGTTGAGGGACGAGTTGAGCCATGATTGTCCAATAAAGTAAATATTATCCATTTAAATCATCCATTAACAAACTCTCTCACAACTCCTGCAGTAAAATCCAGGTCTCATCTATCCAGTCATTTGCTCAGTACTTCCTGTGACATCATCCATCCACTGAGTGAGAGCATACGGGTCGGCCAGTCTGGTCCCGTTGGTCAGTGTTTACTTATTCAAGTAACACTGGCGGTCCCGGAGAGTGAGTGACCTGACATGGTGCGTTGGTAAATTCAGTCTGACGCTCTACACTAAAATGAGAGCCCTGTTGGTGGAAGAAACGCAGCGTTATATTTCTACATGAATGAACCAACGCTTAAGTTAATCATACATTCACTCCGCTCGGCGCTCTGCTGCTCCGTCTCCACAGACAGAGTGTCCAGAGTGCGCTCTGCCACTCTGAGAGTGCGCTGCTCTGGATAACCCAACGCTACATTCAGACAGCGCTCCCAATTTATCAACGCTCCAGTTTGTGTCAGAGTGCGCTCCCACACTCACAATGAGTGTTTGTGAACGCACCACTCACATCATCTTCCTCCATCGTCTAAAACAAGACAACACAACTTGTGTCTGTGGAGAACTGTTTTGCCTCCAGCTAAGCCCCGCCCACCAAAAACATCATACTGTTTACTGACAGTATAAAGGTCTATGGGGGCTGACTCACTCTTGGAGCCAGCCTCAAGTGGACATTAGAGGAACTGCAGCTTGGTTTAAAGGAGAAGTCCAGTATTTTGCACTTTGAGCCCCATTTCTGGTTGTTTATGATGAAACAGAGTGGTTCAGACCAAAATAGTTTCGGAGAATTCTGCTTCCCCTGCCTGGCTTAATACTGCTGCCTATGGTCATGTGTGATCCTGTCCTAAAACCACCCTAAACGTTCATTTTCAAAGCCATGAAACTCACCGAGTGGTCAGTGGTGTTCGCTGATGTTCTGACATAAAAACCGTGGCAAACTGTGGTTTCCATGATGATTTATTTGACATTTTGTCTAATCCATTTATTTTCTATAGAAGCCTCATTGTCCGTTGGTAGTAATCCGCCACCAGAAATGGAAAGGGGTTTGTTTACGTCAAGGTTGTGGTCATTGTAGTCTTTTAGCTCAGCGAAAGTGCCGGCTTGACAGTGCTGTGTGCGCATTGGAACGAAAAAGTTTTGTAATAAGTTTACACACCTGCACAATGGATTACTCGCTTGTAAACAACCTTCGCAGTACGATGCCTTTGAACACAACGCCAACCTTCTTCTTCTGCTTCTTCTCTGTGTCCCATTACATTGTAATGGTTTCCTGCTGGTTGGTGACACCCACGTAAAGGAGCGTTATCGCCATCAGGTGGGCTGGAGTGTATAACGCTTCAGGGTCAAACGAATGATCAAGCGGAAGTTTACACACAGGTGTGAGGCAGCTGAAAAAATAGTTCCACAATCGAGATTAATAGCAAAAAAAAAAACACGGATGGAAACCACAGTTTGCTGCGATTTTTAAGTCAGAACATCAACGAACACCACTGAGCACTCGGTGAGTTTCATGGCTTTGAAAACAAACGTTTAGGGTGGTTTTAGGACAGGTTCACACATGGCCATAGGCAGCAGTGTTAAGCCAGGCAGGGGGAAGACAAATTCTCCGAAAATGAGCAATCGTCACTATTTTGGTCTGAGCCACTCTATGTCATCATAAACAACCAGAAATGAGGCTCAAATTGCAAAATACCGGACTTCTCCTTTAAAGGCATGACTCACATGCAGAAATATCTTCAATCGTAAGGTTGCAGTGAAAATGGAAGTGCTGAGCACACGACTGGAAAATGAGCCTTGGATCATAGCGCACGAGCTGTAGGTCTGACTGTTTGACTATGAATTTTCTCAGTTTTCTCTGTTTACCAAGTGAAGTTTCTTCCATGAATTCATCATAACACATGGTGAGTACCTGATACACAGAAGCTCATTATGTGGGTGAAATACTCCTTTAATAAATCAGTCCAGTGTTCTGGAGTCAGGATTTGGTTTCCACCTGTGAAGATCATTAAGAAGCTGAAAAACACAGCACCTGAAGTGCACTCTGTGCTCTGAAAGGCACAACTGCAAGTCAATAGCTGCTCCATGAGCCAGTAGCGTGGTGTAGTGTGTTGGAGCCTTTGAACACAGCAGAAAGAAGAATGAGAGAATAAAAGAGGAAGAAAGAAGAGGAGGAGCCAGTAGATGGTTGAGAACAGGACTTGGAGGTAAGATAGACAGATAGGAGGGCTCTTCCTGAGTTGAGCTGTTTGCTGTGTGGGTCTACTCTCTGCTCTCTGCGCTCCCCAAACTATGGACTAACACATATTTCTCTTTAGGAGCATTTGAGCCACGTTGGAGGTAAGAAAACTTTGTTTTTCTTGCATGTTTTTACTTCACCTCCCGTGTTTCATTGTCCCACTCCCCCTCTCCTTGCTGTGTGTGTGTGTGTGTGTGTGTGTGTGTGTGTGTGTGTGCGCGCAGCAGGGTGTGAGGCAGTAATTTAGTACCTGTTTGTGCTCTCAGTGAAACTCAACACTACAAAAGAAAAGGCACATTTTCAAAAAAAAAAAAAGCTGCTCACCTGTGTCTCTTTGTGTTTCAGCTTTAAGTTTCTGCATGTTTTTGCAGCTGAACGTGACACAGAACTCAAGAAGGAAAAGCTGACAGAAAGGTATTTTTTTACACCATGAAAGAGCTTGAAAATGTTTGGTATGCGGCCGGTCCTCTCAGGTCCATGCATGTGAAAAGACAGCGGAGAGGCAGATACTGATAGTCTTCCCCTTCACTCTCCCCCACTGAGCTCTGCTGAATTCTTCTGTGCTGAAAACCCTCAAGTTTATTAAGTTTACCAGACATGAAGCAGCCTCTGTGCCAAGGCTAATATCCAACTCTGATCACACTCAAACAATGCACACTTTCATTTTTCACTGGCAGTAGGAGCTGTTCTTCCCCTCTGCTGTGCCAGGAAGGAGATAAATCCCCCAGAGTGTCATTCACTGGAGGATTGATTGGGTTGTGTGTGGCACATTTTGTCATTGACCTGCTCTGCTCTGGGTGTAACTGGCAGTTCCTCCTTTCTCATAAAGCTAAAAAAACACACATTGCTTGCTTTGAAACACCACGAGGAGTGTGTAACCAGCATGATATCGAAGCCTAATTGTGCAGCAGTGACAGTTTCTGCAGGCTGACTTAAAGAGTGTGAATTATTAAGACAAAGAAACAAAATTGATGAATGTGTCCAACAATATCTTGATTTAAAAGCAGATGCAATGCATGATTTTGCCTTTTAAGGTTTGCAAAACTTACAGTGAGAGTAAAATACAGAGTTTGTGTGTGTGCATTTACACAGGCGGAGTTATTATGCAGCAAATGTTCCTGAATGGATCGCACTTCCTTCTTTCTGCAGGGTCATTTCCACAGTATTATTAACTTGATTTGAATATTATGTGTGAGGGAAAACAGCAGCTGTACCTGGACGGCTGTCACATCCGTGTGGAGAGCTGTAAAGAAGCAACAACTGAAGGCATGAATTATAAAATTAGTCCTTTAACTTATAAATCTGTGAACTGAAATGCAATAGCTGCTATCAGAAAGAGTAAAAGCTGACTGATGAGTGAGTTGCAATCTGTAAAGATACCTTATCAGCTCTCTGTATACAAGTTTGGCTTCTGCTGCAGATATTTCAACACCACCCAGAATTCACCCGTGCTGCACACGCTGTTATGTTTTCATCACCACCGTGTTTTTCTCAAAGATCTGGAACAAATTCTTGCATCCAGTTTTTGTTCCCCACAATTTTGGCACGCCTTCTCTGTCAAAAAAAAAGGAAGTGGCTCGGAGAAATTCACAATATGTTGTACTTTCTCTGTGACTGATAGCATGACTTGGCAGTTTGGTATGTAACGTCAGTCTGCAGAGTGTAGCTCATGTTGAGGAACTAAATTTAGATAACAGAAGAAGGAAGGATGACTGAGTATAACCAGAGACTAATGATATATTCAGATCAGTAATATCACAGTGTGGAAATACTGTAAAAGTAAAAGTAGTGGTATAATTATACATCATCACGTGTGAGCTGATTATATTTTATATTGATCTGCAATGTAGCACAGTGGCGCAGCTCCTAAAAGAGTTTCACATTTGTTTTTTGTTTTTTCTGTGACTAAGCGACCAATGATATCTTGCTGACTAATGACCTTTTTGTTCGACTAACGTTTGGTCAGCTATTAGGGGGCAGCCCCAGCAGTACTGCTAAAGCACAGTACTATGCAGACAAAACTACTGTGAGATCAGATTATACAGCTGTCAGTCCACAATAATTTACTGTAAAAATGATGCAGCTGTGAATATACAGTCAAATATTTTACAGCGTACAGTCAGATCTCTCTCTCTTTACCTAGTATGGCTTTATAAATGAACAAATATCAGTGACTCGGCCTACGAAAAGTAAAAGAAGGCCAGTCAGCCCTGTAATAAAGCGTACAGTGATGAGTGAGGGGCTTTACAATCTGTAACAAGTCTATGATGTGCAGTATCTGACATGTGCAAGCAATGTACAGATGCATTCATGTACAACAGATCACAGTAAAAACATAGCAACAACCAGCCTTTTCCTAGCGTCAAAGAAGAAACAGGACTTGTTTCTGAAATAAAACTTCAGCCTCAACTTTTGAAGAAAATATCAACCTGAGGTTTAAAGACAGGAAGTCATCGAGCCAAACACTGAGATATCTGTGACATGTGACGACCTCTAACTTCTTTCCCTGAGCAGTAAGAACATCAGAAGTGTCCACAGGCTTCTTCCCAGCATGTGAGACATGCATTACCCTCGTTTTATCAGCATTTAAAACCAGCTTTAGTTGTATAAGCTGTATCTGGATAACACACAGACAGCCTGCACAATATATCAGTGTGTCATCGGCATAGAAATAGAAATTGGCACCAACTTCATTTTGACCAAGACTATTAATATAAATGAAAAATAACAGGGGACCTAACACAGAACCCTGGGGTACCCCATTACATGTGTTGAGCCAGTAGGAGGTGAGCCCACCAAACTGAAAACCTTTCTTTTTTTTTTAAGATTATTTTTTGTGGGCTTTTTGCCTTTAATGACAGGACAGAGAGTGAAATGGGGAGAGAGTGGGGACTGACATACAGCAAAGGGCCACGAGCCGGATTTGAACCTGTTCAAGGATCAATCTTCTCATCAACTCATCAACTCTGACATTTAACAGAAGTTATTTGCCTTTTTGCTCAAACTAGTCATCATATATACAGTCAGGTCCATAATTATTTGGACAATGATACAGTTGTCGTCATTTTGGCTCTGTACACCACCACAATGGGTTTTTAATGAAACAATGAATACCTGCTTAAAGTGCAGATTCTCAGCTTTCATTTAAGGCTTTTTTCAAAAATGTAGTATGAACCGTGTAGGAATGACAACCATTTCTTCACACAGTCCCCCGACTTTAAGGGCTCATAAGTATTTTGGCAAACTAACATAATCATCAATTAAACAGTCAGTTTTGGTTGCAAATCCTTTACAGTCAATCCTTTACAAAAATGTCTTTGGTTGCTTTTGCAATATGCTTCAGGTCAATGTCCATCTGCACTGTGAAGCATCGTCCAATGAGTTTTGAAGCATTTGGTTGAATCTGAGCAGATAATGGTGCCCCAAACACTTCAGCTTTCATCCTGCTGCTCTTGTAAGCAAGACAAGACTTCACTAGAATAAATACAGAGGGTTTATTACAAGATGCAAACCATTGGTTAGCCTTAAAAATGGAAGGCCAGATTAGAGTTTGTCAAAAACCATCTAAAAAGCCTGTACAGTTGTGGAACAGCATACTATGGACAGATAAAACAAAGATCAACTACCAGAATGATGGGAAGACAAGAGAAGGAAGAAGGGAAGGAACTGCTCATGATCCAAAGCACACCACCTCATCAGTGAAGCATGGTGGAGGTACTGTTATGTCATGGCCATGTATGGCTGCCAGTGGAACTGGTTCTCTTGTATTTATTGATGATGTGACTGCTGACAAGAGCAGCAGGATGAAAGCTGAAGTGTTTGGGGCACCATTATCTGCTCAGATTCAACCAAATGCTTCAAAACTCATTGGACGATGCTTCACAGTGCAGTTGGTCATTGACCTGAAGCATATTGCAAAAGCAACCAAAGACATTTTTAAGGCAAAGAAGTGGAATGTTCTGCAATGGCCAAGTCATATCATCTGACCTGAATCCAACTGAGCATGCGTTTCTCTTGCTGAAGCCAAAACTGAGGGCAAAACACCCAAAACACAAGCAGGAAGTGCAGACGGCTACAGTAAAGGGCTGGCAGAGCATCACCAGGGAAGAAACCCAGCATCTGATGATGCCTATGTGTCCAACACTTCAGGCAGTCATTGACTGTAAAGGATTTGCAACCAAGTATTAAAACTGACTGTTTAATTGATGATTATGTTAGTTTGTCCAAATACTTATGAGCCCTTAAAGTCGGGGGACTGTGTGAAGAAATGGTTGTCATTCCTACACGGTTCATACTACATTTTTGAAAAAAGCCTTAAATGAAAGCTGAGAGTCTGCACTTTAAGCAGGTATTCATTGTTTCATTTAAAACCCATTGTGGTGGTGTACAGAGCCAAAATGACGACAACTGTATCATTGTCCAAATAATTATGGACCTGACTGTATATGTATAAGCATTAATAACAGTACTCCAGCAATTTAGAGTCGCTCCTCAGTGAAGGTTGGACGCCAGTGCAGAGACAGCGAAAGGTATCTGAGGTATCCATGGGTTAAATTCCAGACACACTTAATTCTGCATTTCCTACGTAAGCCCAAGCAAAGATACCAGGGTGATGTTACTTGAGTAATTTCCTTAGAACTCCCTGCAGAGCCACAGAGGACATTATATAACCGGTTTTCCAGGTTGAGTGACGCTTAACACGACTACTAAAGTGATTTATGGAAAAGTTGGTGTATCGATAAAAGCAATATCAGGGCACACCTGTCTGCTGACATGTTTTATGTGGATATGGAAAACCTCCCAGCAAAAAGTTGTCTATTTACACATTTGGCAGACGCAGAGCAACTTCCAAATATCTGTCTGTTCAGCTGCTAAATGCTCCACTGTGTTGACCAGCTGTGTCTGCCTGCTGGGTGATGCTGGGCAGGTGGCGCACAGAGGCTGATTAGCAAGAAAACTAACCAGAAGAGTAAAGCTGGGGATGTAAAACCAAAACAAAGAGCTGAAAGACATTAAAATGCTCCATTGACATCCTCCTCTTTCTCTCTGCAGATGAGTGACCAGGAAAGCAGCACCTCGGCCTCTCAGACAGAGGGAGAGGTCGATGGAGAGATGGATGAAGAGATGGAGAGTGAAGGACAAAGAAACGGTCCGGTCCCCAGTCTGTCCAACTTCTCCTCGTCTCTGCGCGCCGTCATACGCATCAAACAGAAGTACCAGGCCATGAAGAAGAGGCGTCAGGAGTTGGCCGTGGGGCTGGGAGGAGCTGGGACCCTCACCGGAGCACCGCTGAGAACCAGCCCCAAAATCTTCACCTTCGACGGAGATCCCCTCGCCACCTACTCCACCCACTCCACCCTGTCGTCCGCCGCCCCTCAGAGGAAGAAGAGGAGGAGGAGGAAGCGGGTGATGTTTCCCAACAGAGGGAGGCGGCGGGCCCCTCCAAAGCAGGAGCAAAGCCGAGCCAAGTACTGCCTCTACCTGCTCTTCGCCATCGTCTTCATCCAGGTAAAGAAACTAAATGCTTCTTTATAAACATTGAGGGTGAGGAGTTTTATCTCTCCATTAAATCCCGTTTGAGGACGCAGGGTGTAATACAGACTGAATGCTTTGTCTGCACGTTCAGTCGTGTCGGCGTTCATTTACTGTCAGGTCTAGAGTGGGTTATGCATCATCACCTAATCTCAAGGAACTCTTCAGAAGAGTTTCACTCATGCCTCAGGGGCCTCTTGGTGAGCTCACCCGACCATGACTGTGTCTGACATCATCACGTGTATCTCACGGCATTACGCAGAGTTTATTTTGCAGTTTCCAACATAAATATTTCTGATGGGTCAGACTGTGCTTCCTGTTGCAGTTTTGCAGCTGAGCAGCAGCGACAAACGAGGACACGAGTTGTTTCCTTTCCAAAGAAATTATCTGTGCAGATTACAGGGTCCAACTTGCAGGAGTAAACATTCGGACTGGCACGGCATGACTGGGAGAGGATCCAAAATGTTCCCTCTGCTGCTCGCTACCTTGAGATTTCTTAGATGTTATTATTTAAAATTTTTATAAACTGGATGATCCGAGGAAGCTGTGTCCCAAATCAATACTACCTATGAATTCTGAGCAGGTTTTGAATGTAAACTCTGTTCACACTGGGAAAGTATCACATACTTAAAACCATTGATTTTGATGCTGTTGATAAAAACTATTCTCACTCTATGAACTGGAGGAGCTGCTTGTGACTGACAAAAAGAAACCAACAAAAAATGCATTGTAGATGGTGATGAAACAGCTCCACGAACATCTCAGAAAACTATTAATTGTCAGCGACCTTCTTAAGAGTTATTATTGTTTAATTTTCTTTTCCTATAACAGTTAAAGGAGCATTCAGAGCAATAACACAGCAGTAAACACCTTGCTATTAGGGCTGGCTTAGCGTAGCTCGTGCAACATACAGATCGATGTCGCACTGTAGACTAATGAACAGACAGATTAAACAGAGGAGCAGTGTGAGAGAGGAGAGATGCTCACTGGTATAGCTTTTTAAAAGAAAAGTGTTACGTGGCACAACTTGACCCTATATCGATATAAACAGTGTCTAAATTTATATTTTGCTTGAAAATATATTGGCATATCGTACATAGTCGCTACATCGTCCAGCCCTACTTGCCATGTACAGATGTAGTGGAGTAATGGCGTCCTGAGCAGAGGGCGAAGTCACGCTCCCTCTGTGTGTGTTGTAATCCAAGCTTCTTTGTCATTTGTTGTGGTCGACAGTTCGGCCACACGTGCATGTTAGTGCATGTGAGCCAAGTTTCCGATTGCGTTAGGGCACAAGTATACTGGCTGCATGGCCAAACGTACGCGTACATGGTGTGCTGCGCCTGTGTGTATACTTTCTGTAGCATGGTCGTTTGTCGACGCAACCAAAACGCCGGATACTGGTGGTCTCCACTAGGGGCAGACCACAGCACTCAGACACAGAGGTTGCGAAAAGCAAAGAAGGCGGTGACACTGTATTTCCGGATGTAGTAGGCTATACACAAACATGGATACTCTCGATGAAGAGATTATAATTTTATGTCTTTTAAGATTCGGCAGAGGAAAAGGCGTCGTCTCCGCCGCCATCAGAGATGGTATGTGCGGCCCGACCTCACGTTCACAGTCTCTAGAAGTCTACTTTGCACGAGCGCCTCTAGTGTTCATGTCAATATTGCATTTCGCGCACGCGTCACATTACCTCGCGTCAAAGTGAGCGGCCTACGCACCAAACGACTGCACAATAAGCATGGCAGCCATGATGCGTATGAGTACGCGTTGTCTGCAGCAAGTATACTTCTCGCACCATTTTGTTTTGACTCGCTTCATACGTGCAAATAACTTGTGACATACGCGTGTGAAATCGCTAAATTGAGGAATAAACTTCCACTGATGCGTCCTCCCGTCATACGTCCGCGGAGGATCTCAATGCTGATTGGCTATCGTGGTGCAAGGTGGTTGCTGAAGTTCAGATTTTTCAACTCGTGAATAAGTGTATGACGCAAAATTGTGCTACTCGCTTCATTTGCACCGCTTAATTCACCTGTTTTGCATCATCATTTGTGTCACGTCCATCGTGTCCATCGTGCATCCCAGCGGGAATTTGTGTGCTCTATAAAGACTGGTATATACAGTATATAAGTAGTGTGCAGTACTGATTCGAGACACAGATATGTTCTCTCATATTCTTAATATCTGTCTCTTGTTTCTCTCCAGGTGTACAACGCCATAGAGAACCTAGACGACCACGTTCTCAGGTACGACTAGGTTTACAAAATAACCTTGATATTCAAGGTGTAGACGTTGCATAGGAGTTATTTGGTTTTTAATTTTTTCTTTTTACTAATTTCTTGCTCATTCATTTATTTAATTTTGCACTGATTTTTATACGCACATTTCCCCCAGTTAAGTTCAGTATTAAAGGGTGTCAGTTTTATAATGACATTGTGTAAAGTTACAGAATTCCTGAGCCAAACTTTCCTCTGAAATTTACCAGAAACTTTCCTCCCCTGTGCGTCTCTAGGTATGACCTGGAGGGGCTGGAGAAGACTCTGAGGAGAGAGGTGTTTGGACAGCAGGGGGCTGTGGAGGGTCTCCTGTCCCACCTGAAGGACTACCTGTCAACCTACGTCCACAACAAACCCCTGGTGGTGTCCGTGCACGGCCCCAGCGGCGTGGGCAAGAGCCACCTGGGACGCCTCCTGGCCGGACACTTCCGCTCCGTGGTGGGGGAGACACTGGTGCTGCAGTACTACGTTCTCCACCACTGCCCCCAGGAGGCCGACGCCCTGCAGTGCGCCCGCGACCTCTCCGCTGTCATCTCGGAGATGGTGGAGCGGGCCGAGGAAGAGGAGAAGATCCCGCTCTTCATCTTCGACGAGGCCGAGCACATGCACGACGAGATCCTGGACGCGCTGCAGCAGCTCATGGCCACCAAGCAGTCCAACGAGTACCTGAACGCCATCTACCTGTTCCTGAGCAACCTGGGTCACGCGCACATCACCAAACACATGCTGCACAACTCCTCGAGTATCTCCACTGCATCCGGTCGTCATAGTAACCTGGTAAAAGAGCTGACTCCGATATTACGCAACACTCTGGAGAAGCTCCACTCACTGTGGACAGAGGCGGACCTCTTACCACTGGGCCTTTTGGAGAAAGGTCACGTGATGGAGTGCTTCCTGGACGAAATGACTCGAGAGGGGTTCTACCCGGATCATACCAACATAGAGCGCCTGGCGGGGGAGATAACATATTATCCCGAGGTGGGGGGGCATGAGTACTCCCAGACAGGCTGCAAGCAAGTGGTGGCAAAGGTCAACCTGCTGTGAAGTCCTCCACAGAAGTGTTTGGATGTTTCACATTCTTTAAAGCATGAAGTAACATGTGACAGAAAGGAGAAGTCGGCAAAGTGACGAAACTTGAATGACAAAACTCGGAGCCAAAGCTTTCAAGAGCCGTTTTTAAAGAAGTGGAAACAGAAAGACAAAGGACGCTGAAGACGTTTGGCTCTGCTGTGAGAAATCTGAATCCTGTGAAGAGGTTTGGAAACGCCCAGTCACACAAACAGGCCTTAAAGGGTCAGTTCACCCAAATTATAAACAACTCAGTGGTGTCCAGCCTGCAGATAGTTTTTATGTGACTAGATTTTAAGATGTGCGCCTTCATTAAAATACAGCGGAGATAAATGGATTGTTTATGGTGCAAAGTTTTTCTAGGGATTATTTTCTTCAATAGAAAATACTGTTCAAATGTTGATTTTCCAGCGTTACAGGGACGTTGTTTTGTAAAAGACTCACTGCGATTGATTGTTAGCCATGCTAGCTGCAGGGCTCTCGGGATGGCGATGACGTTTAATCTACCAGTTTAGTTCAGACTGAAATATATCAGACAATCATGGTTCCTGGAGGATAGATCCTAATTTTTTTGATGATCATCTTAAGTTTTTATCGAGCACTACCACGAGGTTGACAGTTGTGGTTTTAAGTGTCATGTCTCAGCAACAATTGGATGAATTGTTACAAAATTTTGTGCAGTCATTCATGTTCCTCAGAGGATGAATCCAACTGATGTTGGTGATCCTCTGACTTTTTCATCTGGTGCCACCATGACATTTGCACTTGTTATTTTGAGCACAGTATGTCAGCAACAATAGAATGTATTGCCATGAAATTTGAGTCAGACATTCATGGTTCCCGGAGGATGAATCATAATGATTTTGGTATTTATCCAACACTACCTTGAGGTTGACGGTTGTGGTTTTGAGCAATATATCTCAGCAGCAATTGGGTGAATTACCTTGAAATTTGGTACAAATACTCAAGGTCCTCAGAGGATGAACCCTTATGACTTCACTCATCCCCTGACTATTCATCGGGGGATATATCCTAATGATTTTAATGATCAACAAAGTTTTCATGTAGCGCGACCATGAGGTAGACAGTTGTGGTTTTGGGTGAAATATCTAGGCAACAGTTGGATGGATTGTCTTGAAATTTTGTGCAGTAATTCATGTCCCCCGAGGATGAATCTTACTGACTTTGATTATCTTCTGACTTTTCATCTAGCACCACCATGAGGTTTACTTTTGTTGTTTTGAGCAAAATATCTCAGTAACAATTTGATGGATTGCCTTGAAATTTTCTTCACTCAGTGTTCCCAGAGGATGAATCCCTATGATTTTGGTAGTCATCCAACTTTTCATCCAGGGCCACTATGCTGTTCTTGTTTTTGGCTTTAGGCTAAATATCTCCGCAACAATTGAAATTTGGTACAAATATTGAAGGTCCTCAGAGGATGAATCCTTATAACTTTACTGATCGCTTGACTTACATTTATGAGTCTGAGTGTTCTTTCAGTCCTAAAAGCAAGTTTACATTTTTGATTGTGAGAGAATAATTGGATGTATTGTAATGAAACATGGTTCAGACATTGATGTTCCCCTCAGGATGAATCGTAATAACTTTGATGATCATTTAACTTTTCACCAGGTCACATTTTAACTTGTCCAACACTTTGAAGTAGCTGCAGATCTAAAGATGTTTCTATCATCCTCAACTGTATGTTGAGTGCTAATTAGCAAATGTTAGCATGCTGATATGCTGAACTAAGCTGCTGTACATGCTAAACCTGCTAAACCTCAACATGTAGCATTGTTATTTCAGCATGTTAGCTTGCAGATGTTAGCATTTAGCTCAAAGCAGAGTACAGCCATGCAAAGCCACTAATTCCATGCACCTCCACTGTATCAATATGAAGGCAGCTATCTCAGAGATTAATATATAAACACCTGAACAAATAAAAACAAAACTATCTGTGCGGCTAACACGCTGCAGGCTAATGGAGAATATGTGTGTTTTTCTGATTTTGGTGAACTGACCCTTTAACCCCTTTGTATGTCATAACTACTCTACATGAGGCAGCTCAAGCAGACATAGTAGGAAATGAGTCAGACCGATATTCACTGAAGGGGAAGTTCAGATATTTATGATGCATGAGCTACAAATATTTTAAGATGATTTAATTGTGTCAGAAATGTCAAATGTGATGCAGCATGACTTCTATTAATGCTAGTGCAAGTGTCTGCGATGTAAAAGCCTGTGGCTTTACTTAAAAAATATTCTGTAATAATATCTAAGTAACTGATTTTGCCTCGGAGCTGCAGATTTAAAGTGTCAGGGTGAATATTTCCTGCACATAAAGCTTCTCTTCTCTTTGTTTGAGAGCACATAGTCCCTGAAAGGCTGATTTATCATTAAAGAAAAATAACTTTGCATGGATAAACAAGTTTACTACCAGAGAAGTGCACCGAAAGACTTGGACTAGCAATTTTCAACTATTCAATTTGTCTTTGAGCTGAAGAGATTTATTAAGTCGGGAATATGTTAACGTTCTGTATGGAGGTATTTTACAGTCCAGATATGTTTAATATAAACTTTAATGTGTTGTGAGGGTCTTGAAATTAAAGACACTGTTTAAACACAGCTGCAAAACTTCATCTGTTGTTTTGTTTGTCAAAAAAAGAAGGAATATCTTAAAGGAGTCGTTTGACATTTTGGGAAATACTGCTGAGAGACACGTCTGTACGGTGCATACGCTACCACTGACGTTGCATCGAGACAGGAAATATAATCCCCCCCGAAAACACTTGGTTATCTTTTTCCAGTCGTTACGCTGAGCTACCCTCACAACAAAGACGTTTATTTACTCTTTTAAACTAAAAAAAGTATATTCGGCTTATACTTCTACTAAATCTTTTGATCGAGATATACTTGAGACAAGTATAGTCCGCTGGTTGTGTACACTTAAGTTAACGTCAAGGCTACTGAAAGAACAGTTTAAGTATACACGTATAACATATAACACCTGAATGGTAACCTGGTTTTATACTTAAAGGTGGAAAAAATAGATATAAATAGTGAACTATAAGTATGATGTGAAGTTCGCTTAAAGAAAACTTACAAGTACACTTGCAGTGTAAAAACTTTTACACTCGTAGTTTACTGAGAGTATACTTTAATGTGTACTTTCATAAACTAAAAAGTAGGCTACAAGTATATAACTAATAAGGTAACAGTATGTAAATATGTTTACTTGAAGTATACTTTAAAGTGTACTTTTATAAACTAGTACGTATTAAGTATAGCTCCCAGTATAGTTGCAGTACAAAATAAAACTTCAACGTAAAGTAGTTATGTTCTCAAAGTTTACTACTCTTGCACTTCCAGTATACTTTTAAACTAAAAAGTACGCTTGTAAGTATACTTTTATAAACTAAAAAAAAGTATATTTTTAAACTGAAGAAGTATACTTTCAAAAATCAAAAAACAACTTATAAGTAAACTTTTATAAAGTAAAAAGTGTGCTAGTTTAGTCCCAAGAAGTATTAAAGTAGCTAACTTACAAGTACACTACTAGCACATTGATATCTGTATACTTACTACATAAAGTATATGTGAGAAATAAATTTGTACTAAGTATACTAAATAAAATGAACTTGAAGTATACTTCTGTTTTGTACAGGTTAGCTGATCAGCTGCTGTAGAATTCATAGTGGAATCAATTTTCTTATCTGACTCTCTGCAAGGAAGCCAATAAGAATACTTCCCATAATGCTCACTTTAAGTCAGAATCCAGTTCCTAGTTTCTTCCACTGCTTTCTACTTGATCTCAGTCTCAGCAGATGGAGTCTGTTGGAGAAGTTCGCCACAGCTGAGCAAAACTAAGACCATGAGACGTGGTTAAAGCTCCAGAAAAGGCTCATAAGTGAGCACTGAGTTACACCATGCTTTGATGAAGACAAGAATTCCATCGACTTCACGACTTGTTTTTAATTTTTTTTATTATTATATTTCCCTTCATTGACATTGGAAAAAAATGAGGTACTGTGTCTAAGTGACAAAGAAAAATGAGCCTTATAATCATGACGACACAATTAGATGGAGAAACAAAAACATTTGGACGCATGTTTACCAAAAAAAAAAAAAAGAAAAAGAAACCAGAAAGACGTGGAGCACAACGACCTTTTCCTATGAAATGTTTTAACCGGAGTCACTCAGAGGACAATCGAGTGTACTTTCTGTACAGATCTGAGGAGTGTATGTTGTTTTCCAGACGAGAGCACTGACAGCAACGAGCGCAGTCCCCGAGCAACATGAGGAAACAGCTGGCCGTCCAGTTGAGACGCCCCGGTGCGGCTGAGCAGCCCAGATACCTACGAGACGCTACGAGCAGATGCAAAGTGTTCTCTTTCTTTGTGACCATGACGGATAGATGAAAACAATATTGTAGAAATGCAAACTAACTACACAAGCTACCAGAAGATTCCACTACATTGAGTTCACCTACCAGAGGTCACAAAGGAATAAAAGATCATATCGAAGCATCTGGTACGGGAGACCATTTCTGCCAATGTGAAGAAAAAAAACTTTCTTAAAATAATGAGAAACTTTCTCAATATTTTGACCTACCAAGACAAAATTATAGACAACACATAGGCCTGTGCAAATTTCGAGAAAGTTTCTGATCATTGGCTCAATCCCATTTTTTATTTTTACCCCTAACCCTCGTTCTCCAGTCACACTGCCCGTTGGAACAGAGTGACAAGAGGAAGCGGTGGAAATCTTCGTCTATGAGATGAAGCAACCTTTCAACACCCTGACGTGTCTTCAGTATCGATGGTGTTCATGTGAAGCAATAATGGTATTATCACAGTTATAGTTGCCATTTATCTGATGGAGACAGAAAAGCACGGATGATTGGTTCACAAGTCTTAAGGCCTCTGCACACTGAGACTGTTTGTTTTATCACACGCAACTTTGTCAAAACGTTCAATGATTTTTTTCTAATTCCATGACTTTCCCAGGCCTGGAAAATGTGACTGTAAAAATTCCATGACTTTTCCAGGTTTTCCATGACCGTGGGAACCCTGGACTGTTAAACAGCTCGGTATCGGATGTTAGCTGCCGCTGCTGTGTTAGCTCGTGCTAACCGGGCAGGGAGAGCAGGAGGACAGCAGCTCATCAAGACGGTCCTTTGGCGCTGAGTGAATGGCAGCATCAGCTGTTCATCGGCGATCGATCAGCCTACCGTCACAAAAAGATTCTAATTCTATGGGAAACACTGAATGCTTTTAATAATAGGCACCAAATCCGAAATAGCATTGCATCTATTTTTGCAATTTTTATTTGTTTCCGCAATTTTTTATTTTATTTTTTTAAAAAGCTTAAAAATATTGCAACATGCATCGCAACTTACTAGAACAGCTGCCGTGTAATCAGCAATTTCAGGCCGCAACAATCACGAAAAACAGCCCGTGAAATTCTTGAGGTACTGACTAGTGGTGTTCTGTAGGCTAACGTTAGCAACCCGTGTGTCTATGTACCTTGCCATTGTGCACTGACAGTAGCAGAGCAGTAACAAGTGCAGCAACTTTTCCTCTGACAGCTGGAGGTAACTCAACATAGACAATGAAAATGCCGGACTGTCATGCACAAGTCAGCAATAACAATTAGCTAGCTAGCTAGTTAGCGACCGAGACATCAGCATGCCACTTGCGTTTTTTTGTTGTTATGCTTGTTATAAAGACAAGGACCACAATATATTGAAACGATGACGGTTAGTGTAATTTTTAAATCTTTATTTAAGAAGAAAATATGTTTGTGGGTTTCTTTTGTTGCTTGTGCAGCCATCTTACTGACAATTTCGTGAAAGTGAAGTGTGCCTCTAGAATACCTTCGTTTGGAGGGCCATGTGTCCATCCTGAGACACCCTACCACTAGACGTGAACGCAGGAAACAGAGCGCTAAGAACAAAGTGTTTGGGGCAAAGAGTGAACTGGGATTGATTATTTCGAGAGAGTTTCTGCATAATGATTTACACAATCTTTTTCCTTTCATGAATGTGGCAGAAATGGTCTCCTGTTGACTTTCATTGTTCCTGTAAAGCAGTTTTAAACATCCTCCATTCAGTCTTTACTTCTCAACTTAATCCAGTCACATGTTCATGACGTATTGTATCAAAACATTTATATGGATTAAATTGTCCACAGATTCCAACAACACGGCCAAAAGAGCTCAAACCAATAAAAAAAAACAAACAAAAGAGCAAACAGACACTCGGCACCTTTTTCTTTTTTTAAACCAAGCGAAGACGCTTTCAGCTCTGCATCCACGTGTTCATTCTTACATGCTTTAAGGAAGGCAGGAAACAACTGAATACAGGAGCTACACATTTACATTTACGACTATGTCATCCAAACCTACAGGGAAATAAATAGTGTCACTTCAATGACCATAAAAACGCTAATAATCCACAACTATGCGCCGTCACTTTCACGATTGACAACCTCACAACTCCTCTCAGGGGTGTTTAAGCATGATGCCGAGGCTCGACTATTACTGTCAGAAATGCTCATGAATTGTGTGAACGGGGGGCGGGGAGTGTGAGGGAGAGTCCAGAGAGAAGCTACATGATGGTGGTGGACTGTGTGTGGGTGGGGGAGGGCGGCAGGGGGGCAGAGGAGTGTGTGGCTTTGTGTTTTCTTTGTGCTCCTCTTTATGCCTCCAGCTCGAAGCCCATCCCGACTTTGTGTCCACCGGCGTTGAAGTTCTTCCCGTCGATCAGGGCTGAGAGGGTCACCTTCACACCTGAGGAGACACAGCACAGGTACATGTGAGACTTTGTAAGACCTTTTAATGTCACACTGAGTAAAATGTAACACCTGTGTGACAGTTGGACCATTACAAGTACACAGCAGGCAAAGTATTCAGATATTCTCCTGAAAGGTCCAGTGTGGAGGATTTGGTGGCATCTAGTGGTGAGGTCGCAGACTGCAACTAACTCAAACTTCCCTCGTGTGCAAAGCGAACGGCCCCAACTAGATGACATCAGAGAAAATCGATCTTTATCATTAGTCTGACTAAAACTGGTCTTTTAAAATCCATGTAAACATGTTAGTCCAACTGAAATTGTGTTAAATAGAATTTCTCAAAGTCGGACGAACACACCCAGATCATGTGACTCCTGCATGTATGCAGTCAATCAGACCCAAAGTGGCCGAGGCGCTCTGAGCATGCTCCATAGTTTCTGCCCCGGGCTTTGACCCGGAAGTCCAATAGCATTAAATGTGTAAGAGAAGAAGAAGCCGGTAACAACATGGAGAAATCTACATCCAGAGCCGTGACTTTTTGGACGGACCAAATGTACAGAGCTGTAAAGTTGTCCACCATGGTAGCAGTTAGCAGCTAGCTAACCGTAGCTAACTTGTTTGTCCACTGTTTGGTCTGTGACGTAATAGGTCAACAGGAAAAAGGCCCAATACTAACAAGCTGAAAGGGGGCATATCTCCACCTATCATAGAGGAGTCCCTCTCCCCAGCAACACTTCCCAGCTTCCAAGGTGTTCCCAGACCAGATGAGATATATAATCTCTCCAGTGTGTTCTGGGTCTGCCCCGGGGCCTCCTACCAGTGGGACGTGCCCAGAACACCTCTAACAGGAGACGCCCAGGAGGATCCTGATCAGATGTTGAACCACCTCAACTGACCCCTTTCAATGTGAAGGAGCAGCAGCTCTACTCCGAGCTCCCTCCTGATGTTTGAGCTCCTATCAAGCTCTGATGTTTGTGGTGTAGTTAGCTCCCTGTGTTGGATTGTTCTCATCAAGAAGGATGAAAATGTGTTGAGTGTTGCAGACGGTGTTTAAAGGCAAATACAAATTACTTTGTCTCGTGTATAAACTCTGTGACTTCTATCCAGTACTGATGAACACTCGAGGTCACATTCACTGACTCAGACACAGCTCTCTTGTTAACGAGTCACTGTCAACATGGTGGCTAAATTAATTTATGAAACCTGAAGTCATTCAAAGCAAATATAAACATCGCTCTGAAAGATCAGATAATTTGCTGTATTTACGAGGATGTGATTGATGGGAAATGTCTGGGTGGAGGAGGACCTACCTGGCCGAAGGCTCTGGGTGTAGCCGACTCCGATCAGACTGGCATTGTTCACTTTGGCCTGCGGGACAAGACGTGATAAGACATGAAACAAAGGTTTGTTTGTGTGAATGTGCCTTTAAGGTGGAGCTGTGAGCGAGCACTTACAGACACAGAGGCGTCTTTATCCAGCTTGTATTTGGCGGCGATGCCGAAGCGAGTGTTGTTGCTGCCGGCGGTCCAGGCCAGAGTGACCGCCGTCTCCAGCTCGTCGTTCACCTTCTGGTAGATGGAGCCGCCGAACTCGGTGCCGTCGTTACTGTGACAGAAAAGATGCAAAGACGTTGGTGCACAGTTTCAACCCTTCACTCTCCTGGATCATCAGAGGGTTTCATTATAACCATCTTAACGTTAGGCAACTGTATTTGTGTAAATACTGTACACAAGATAAATAATGCCTTTAACTGCATCAATATCACACGGAATATTAACTGAGCACTGATATCTGACTGAACAACCTAGGGCTGACCCAAAAAATTCGAAGCTTCATTCAATGGCACGGGATTGTGGGAAAAAAAAATCGAATATTCAGCCTTTTTTTTCTCCCGTTTTTTTTTGGGGGGACCTTGAACGCAACACCATTTCCGACAATAAAATAGAAACCCCGACGTGCAATGACCCTGGTTTCATATGAGTAGAGGAAAAGTCTGCTAGCTGCTAGGCTAATTTATACAATGTAAAATGCCATAGGCTTGTGCTAATAACGTTAGCATGTTGTATTTGTTTGGAAAACGTGTTTAGTATAAGACAGTTGTTTTGTCAGTGAACCTTGTGAGCTGTAATGGAGCTGAATTTTGTAACGTTACCTTTGTTAAATGTTGCTGTTGTCCCTGGCTTCATATGAGTAGAGGAAATCTCCGCTAGCTGCTAGGCTAATTTATACAATGTAAAATGCCATAGGATTGTGCTAATAATGTTAGCATGTTGTATTTGTGGGGAAAATGTGTCCAGATAAAGACAAGTGTTTGTCTGTGAATGCTGCGAGTTATAGTGAAGCTGATTTGTGTACTTGTGTTTGAAGCTGTCTCTATTAAGCCATGTTTAATGTGTGTTTAATATGTGTTTTGAATCAACTAAACTTTACAGCACTTAGCAAAAACCTCAGAGTGCAGAGTGACACAGACACACCACTGCACAAGTATAAATTTTCAAAAAGTATAAATCCACCTTTACTCTGGGACCTGGACCATAAAGCAACAGGCATGTATTTGCACTCTCTCTCTGCCTTGTCAGGTCTTTCATGTTTATCGTCCTTCCTGCTGAACATTTGGAAAATAAATATCTCATCTTCCCCGTCTTGTCACAGCTGCCTGCAGACCCACAGAAGACCCCCATGGCTGAATGTGAAAATCAGTGGAGCACTCACACATTGGTGTGCATCTGGAAGTCCCCGGCCCTGTATCCGAGGGCGAAGTTGTTCTGGGCCAGTTTGGACTTGGCCGTGTCGAAGGCCATCTGGTAGCCAGCCAGCCAGCCCTCGTAGCCCAACACGGCGTTAGCATGGATGATGGGACCCTCGAAGTCGACGTCACAGCCCAGGTTCACGTAGTCGCGCTTGTAGCCTGTCTTCAGCTTTCCACTCTTCTTACTGAAAAATGGAGGGTTACATCTTAGATGATCTCTCAGTCTTCCTCTGTATTTTTTTTACGTCACATTTAAGGAACAAAACCAGTAGAGCTCACTTCCTCTGTGCCACAGAGCTCCACTGTTGTCCAGAAACTACATCACTGGATTAAAACTAGTTACCAGCTGTTTAAGGAAATTACCGGGACTTTTTTTAATCATTAAACAACATATTAACATGAGCTGCTTTTAAATGGGGTAAACCATTAATCTAATCTTATAATGTAGTTTTGAATAGCAGCTAATTATTACCAAAAAGAAAACACAGCTTTTTCCATTGTTCTCTGACCCACAGTTCATTCTAATGTAATCCCACACGTCATGATATCAGTGATTCACACAAATAAAAGCAGTCTCACCCTGTGTTTGGTACAAAAGACTTGTCCAAGGCGACCTTCAGTCCTTGAGTCAGCTGTGGGTGAAGTAACCACATACCACTGTGAGACTTTAACAACTGTATCAGTTTGCAAAACCCAGTGAGAACACGTAACGTTAGCACGTACCTGGTCCTCCACAGTGACCTCGGTGGCCAGCGTGTTATCTGTGTTCCACTTCTGGTTGAAGCTCAGGCCCAGCTCCTTCATCTTGTATTTGGTCTCCAGGCTCCCTGCAGCTTTCCCTGTGTCTGTGTTACTGGAGCCCGATGTGTTGAACTCCTGACAGGAGTACATTAACCATTAGCACACTGGAGTCAATCAGACACAGGTCATCATAGAATACTCAAAGCATTAGCAAAGAAATAAATCAATAAAGAGACTTTAAGGGGATTGTTCGGATCTTTTGAAGCAGGGTTGTCTGAGGCACTTCTCCACAGTCAGTGTTTTATATACAGTAGATTGAAGTCAACACGTCCCCCGTTTGGAGAAGCAGGCTGCAGTACTGACACAGAATACAGCAATGTATTGCTGTGGACATGGGCAGCAGCAAAACTTATCACAAATATTCGTATCAGTTTAACCCTTTGAAACCCGGAACGACGTCACTTTTCTTGTGCTGCTTTCAGATGCCTTTCCCAAGTATTTAAACCTTTAAACTCTGAGCAAATTGGTGCCATGGGGAAAAAAGGCAACGAGCAACTTGGTAGGACATGTTCCACAAATTCCCAAAAAATTTATCAATTTTTTAAATTACTGTTAAAAAGCTAGGGAAAAAAAAGAAAAACGCCAGGGTGAAAACTGCAATTATGTTCAAAATTATGTTACAGAATTATTATAATTTCTGAGCTCTTTTTTCCAGGTTATTTCCATGTTTGTTTTCTCCTTTCTTTTATCTTCATTACAAATTTTCTTTTTTTTTTTTTTTTTTTTGTTAGGGAAAAAGAAAAAAGCTAGGGTGAAAACTGCAATTATATTTAAAATTATGTTACAGAATTATTTAAATTGTTATGCTCTTTTTTTTCAGGTCATTTTCTTGTTTGTTTGTTTGTTATCTCCTTTTTTTAATGCAAATTTTCTTTTCTTTTTTTCATTTTCTTTTTTGTAGGAAAAAAAGAAAAATTGAGGGGAAAAACTGCATTTATATTTAAAATTATTTTACAGAATTATTATAATTTTTAAGCTCCTTTTGCAGGTCATTTTCTTGTTTGTTTGTTTATTTTCTCCTTTCTTTTTTTTTTTTTTTTTTTTTTACTAATTTTCTTGTTTTTTTATTTTCTTGGAAAAAAGAAAAACGCTGACAACTATATTTAAAATAATGTTACAGAATTATTTTAATTTTTAAGTGAGGGGAAAAACTGTATTTATATTCAGAATTATGTTACAGGATTATTAGAATTTTTAAGCTCTTTTTTTCAGGTCATTTCCTTGTTTTTTGTTTGTTTTTCTTTTTTTTCTTGTTTTTAATTTTCTTTTCTACTAATTTCTTGCAGATTTTTGGGGTCATTTCTTCCTTCATTGCTTATTGCCTTCTTTCTGTTTTTGAAAGAAACCACGCCAGTTTGCGCAGGTTTCAAAGGGTTATGTGTACGCTATATTGAAAATATTTCACTGTCACAATGCTTTTTGATACAGGCAGCTGCAGACACAGAGGCAGCTGCCTGCAGGAGGAGAGGCTTTGCACCTTAAGGCTCTGAGATAACGTTATAATGAATTTACAGTATAATACTTAACCAGGCTTCTGATTGCCATCTAGTGTCCCAATCCGTCATTAGTAGCGTTAGCTTGTTTACTATATTACGTAAATGTCACTGTGACACTGAAAGAGACCTGTCAAACTTTCAAATGTATATGAAAAAAAAGGAGTAGTCGAATCATGTGCAGCCCTTTTAGATTCTGTGGTGGTACTCCTGCTGCTTCTCCAAACTGGGGGGTGCCGACTACCATCTACTGTAGGTAATACACTGATTGTAGATAAGTACCTCATAAAACCCCACTTTAAAAAGTCCGAACTATCCCTTTACAGACTAGCAGGGAAAAAAACAGAAAATAAAAACTGTGCAGAAAACTGAATAATTATCAGACTGTGCAGGAATAAAATAAAGAATATCACATTATACAGCACTGGACACAGAGACAATACAGCTGACAGACAACCAGACAGTCCCAAACATTAATCCATGCAGGACACCAGTAACACGTGATGGACAGAAAAACACAGATACGTTTGATAAATAAAAAAAGGTACCTGTATCTGAATTAAAATGGAGAAATTAATTTTGTTTCATTAACTGCTGGCGTCCTTTTATTTGCTTTAGTTTACATCTGATCAGGACACAAGTTAAACTACACATGATGTGATACAGGATGGAGGCTATTTTGTTTTGTCTCTGTGCTTCATCATGTTTGTGCTTTCACACCTAACCTCTTTGGCTCAGGTAAAACAAACTCAGGTCCGTTTGTGCAGTTAGTTTGGTTTGTGTGGGCTGGTGTGAAAGCTGTCAAATGAACCTAGGCGTGGACCAAACACCCAAACCGAGACTGCTTATGATGCAGATATGTGATTTTAGCAACAGTTAAACCAAAAATGAATCCATCTGCTGATTGTGAAATCTGTGCACAATCTCGTAATTGACCCTGATAAAGGCCATGTATATCCCATGACCTATTTATGCTAATGCATACATGTCACCATGGTAACCCATATGCATTTTAGAGTGGGTATTTCCCTGATTTAAAAGCTGTTAAAACTGCCATCATTGTATCTGACTCTGTGTACTTGACTTCACAAGATGCCTTCTTTTCATCCTGTCTCTATTTCAGTCATTACTCACAACATGCAGTTGATTTGCAGTCTAATAATATCCTCAGAATAATGCTTACAATAACTTTCTCTATGAACTCTTTGTGACACTTTCGAAGCATTAAAGTGCTGCTGCTAAAGAAACTTCTGTCAGTCATCAGAAGTTGATTTCCCCGCATGGGTTCCGATGACGCAGGACGACAAACACCAAAACTGTCCAATCAAAGAGTAACCTGTCAGATGAAAGAACTTCCTGTTTACTCCTCTTGGTTCGTTTGCAAACAGTCAGTGTGAACAGGAACCGAACCAAAACTAAAATACAACCATGTGTCATTTCTTCCCTCTGGTGCGACAAAATGACCCAAAACTACACGTGTGAAAGCACCTTAAAACCTGTGAGGTTTAAATGCGGACTTCCAGCTTTGTGTAGAACTTGTAGCACTTTTCATGCACAAATGTGACCTCTGCTTTTCACTATACACTGTCTGACATTTTATTTGAGTGTCTGAATGTGTAAATTTACACTCTGTAAAGTTCCCTCAAGGTAATGAAGAGACTACAGTCTGTGGCATGTATACTGCTCTCTGATAACACTGTGAAAATGACCATTGTGCGAATCTATGCTTGGCAGTGGCGTCAAAATCTGTATCTACTGCTGCTCACTACTGAGTAAACTAGTGACTGCCCGTTGATGCAGGGAGTAGTGAAGGAGTGAATGAGTTTGTGGATGGTGCAGGATTCAGAATTCCTACAATAATTTACCCCATCTGATATAAACAGCCTCAACTTAAAACTTAAAGGCAGCACTTTGTCAAAACTGAAACTTGTGAACGGCTAAATACTCTTAAACTGCACTGAGCCTCTAATTCTTCAACAGTTCTTCATAATAAAACAAGCCCAGCCCTGATTTGTGTAGGAGGGAATTTAATCCTCAAAAGCAAAGAGTCTTGCTTCCCTTGTGTCCCAGAGGTTACAGTTCACATCTGGCCTGAAACCTTTGCTGCATATCTGTCTCTCTCCCCTCTCACTTCCTGTCATCTCTCTGCTGCGTCACTCTGATAAGAGTTGAAACGATGAGGGCAGCACTCCAAATACATTCGTCATTCATACTGAAATCAATAATTTTACTGGAGTGCTCTCTTGTTCTTCCAAGAAGCTGAGACAACATTCAGATGAACTGATAATTAATAAGGTCTGTAATATAAGAACACAGCAAGATAACATGATTTACAGTGCTGAAAAGATACAGCTTAGTTGTCACCTCCATCTTAGTATGGGAACGTGTCAAAGCCCACCATGTAAAAAAAGATCACACAGGAACTGAATGTGGGGTGAAATGAACGTCATCGCAGCAAATGATGTCACAAAGTGCAAAAGTGGAGCAAAACTTTTCAGCTGATCTGTTTCTCAGCATCTTTTTAGCACCTACATTTCCTAAACTGACTCTGACCAGCTTCTGATGAACGACTCAACATCTGTTAGTGTGACTAAGAGTTTGCAGCCGTCCTATTGGCTCTGTGAAGCTATACCCGAGCTGAATGCTAACATCAGCAGGCTAACATGCTTATAACACCAGCATGTTGATGTTTAGCAGGTTTAATTTAGCATGTTCACTTTATTGTTTCAGTGTTAAAGCATGTAGCGTTAGCAAATAAGCAGGAAACACGTAGTACAGCTGAGGCTGATGGGAATGTTGTTAGTCTGGCAGGAATGTGAGTTGCGTTCCTGTTGCGTTCCTGTTCCTGGAATTCAATACCAGTACCCAACAGTACGTTTTTCCACTCTCTCTGATAGCAGATATGTAATTTTCTAACAAGCCACAGGGGAGACGTAGACTTGCTCTCTTCCTGTGCTCCACACCAGCCAACAAGCAATTCTTCTCTTTTCTAATCACATGTGCCAGTACTAATCTTCCCTCTCTTTCTGTCTACTTGTCTCTATCGCTCTCTGTCGACTGAAAAATATGACATGAGTACATAATTAAAAAACAAAATCACAAACAGCAGTGATACCTGGCTAAAGTATCTATGCAGATCACGAGCTGGCCCTAGAGCTCTGCACTACAGTGCTACTTGTCACCAAGCTGTGCTCTCAGCTACCAAATTTGGCACCAATTGATTTGACGTGAATCGGCAGTGTTGGGCAAGCTACTTGGAAAGTGTAGTTAGCTAAGCTACTAGTTACTCTAATATTAAATGAAGCTTCACTACATCAAAGCTATCACCCTCAGAAATGTAGCAAGCTAAGCTACAGCAAAATGAAAGTAACTATTGCAACTACTTCCAAGCTTTTTTCTAAATTGAATCAACTTTGTGCCAAGTCAGTGTTATCTTACTGATCAATAAAACTTTCTGTCAAACAGATAGGCAGGTAAAAAAGTTAAGTTGAATTGTTTATTGAACAGTGAGCTGCGCTAACTGCCAACACGACTCAAACCACAACAGCAAGAATGAAGACCTGCTTCAAACAGTCACAACATGGTCAAGAACGTACATGCGTGTATGTATGTGTATGTACACTGCAAAAACTCAAAATCTTACCAAGAATATTTATTTCTAGTCAAAACAAACCTCATTACAATTGAAATAAGACTCATCACCTAAAAAGTAACTTGTTTATAGACAATTTTCACTTGTTTCAGGAAAATTTTCACTTGAAATAAGTCGAAAAAAAATCTGTCCATGGAGCAAGTTTTTTTTTTCTTATTGCAAGCAAAAAAAACAACTTGCTCCATGGGCAGATTTTCATACTTATTTCAAGTGAAAATTTGCTTGAAACAAGTATTTTTTAAGTGTAAAGAGATTTGTTTTGACTAGAAATGAGGCTAGTAAACACATTTTAGTAAACACATTTTATAGTGAGCAGCATACACATGTATGTCCCCTACAAATCCCAACCGTGGTTACAAAGTTTGAATGAACGAGACGGACGCAAAGGAAACGGAGGCTGCGCATTGATCCTTTTGTCTCTGCAGGAACGAATATAAATCCCATTCATGATGGGGTCAAATGGATTATGTGCATAATTAACCACAAAACAAGCAAATACTTCATCTTAATGACATATAACACTCATTATGCTTCAGCTGAATCCTCTAAGCAAATGACCATGTTGAACTGAAATTAGTTTATCATGTTAAATTGTATGAAATTGCTCCAATGCATTAAACCAATCTTTGCGCATAATCACACAGCCTGATATGCCCTGGCAAACACAGTGGGACTGCTGTACAGACCGTTGGTCTTTCTTACCCTAACCCTGGTTATTTTCTGAAAGCACAGAGCAAAGAAATGTCTTTTTTTCTCTCCGGTCTGCTGTCAGCAGGCGCGGTGGCTGTAGCGGGGATTTCAGCACCATGGACGGCACGCGTAAAAAGACTTGACAAGCGTCTCCTTTTAAATGTGTTTGCTGCTAGAGAAATTATACATAATAAATGAAGACAGTGACATATTTTCAATAAAAAACAATGAGTTGAACGTTGATTTCAAGCTTTTGTAGTACAACGAGTTTCAGAATTGTGCGAGTGCGGCCGGAGAGCGGGCGGCAGTGTTTGATGCCGGAAACTCAATATGGACTTGAAAATCAATTTCGGAGTGGGGGTCGTTCGGAACGGCGGGGTTTCGGAATGGAGGGCTGTCCCCCGTCAGCTTCATGCAGAAGTGACTCTGTGTGGTAGCGGTGACAGTTTTATTTCAGTCCATAACAGAAATCCCCGCCTCGTTTGAGCTTCAGAAATGATTTTGGAAATGTAGCTTGTATGGACGCTACCGCGCTAAGTGATCAATAAAAGAGCTTAACTACTGAGAAGTTACTTGATTCAGAAAACAGCGACGCTACCACCAAGCTACTGAGAAATGTAGTTAAACTACAAACGTCCGCTACTGTAGTGACGCTACTGCACAACACTGTGAATCGGTACGCAGTAGTATCAATGTTATTCGAGTACCATGTGTGACATCCAGCCACAAGTGTTGGACACATTGAAAAGTTGACCTGATGATGGCCCCTGAACCAAGACTAAAGCATATCTGTCTAAAAAGCTGATTTAACTGAGAGGGAGTTCAGTCCTGACACACCAAGACGACAGTCAGCTGTGGGTCAGTGTTGGGCTGTCAGTTAGCATCTGTCGCCCTAGCTGGTGCGATGCATCATGCACTGTTGGCCCTTGTTGGCCGCCGTCTGCTTTTGTTTGGCCAATTCAGCATGTTGAATTGGCATTGGCGACTGTGGAGCCCTTCGGTGAATGAAATCACTCTGACTGGCAGCTCAGCTCAGCTCACAAGAAGAGAAACGCAAGTGAGGAAAGTAAACAAAAATCTGAAATCAAGAGGGAGTGAGCTCTTCATTGAGCTCTTTGATGGTTTGTGTAATCGTTCACTGGCGCGTGCTAGATACGCTCTTCTTTAAACATCGGATTGTGTTGTTAGTGTGCTAACTGGCTAACTAGCATCATGTCGGTCTTCTGGTTTCCCTCTTTGTGTGACAAATGTAGCCTACAGCTGTCTGCTTGTGTGGAGAGTTATTTCCTCTCACGCAGGCGCAGAACGTACGTGCTTGTTTACGATGTGTGAAGTCGGCGTAGTGTGTCTGGGCCTTAAAAGGAAAAGTATGTTGAACTGTATGTTATGTGCTGCATTTAGGGAGGCATCTGGTGTATGGATAGCAGTTTAACTCTGGTCATTTTTGCCTCATTAATGATGCAATATTAAGTTTAAAATATTTGGGTTTTGGACTGTTGGCTACCTAAAACAAGACGTTCGAAGACATGACCTTGTGCTTCAGGCAATATCTGATTTCCACAATGTTCTGACATGTTATAGACCAAAGAATTAACTGATTAATAAAGACAATAATCAGCAGGTTAAATTGATAATAAAAATGTTGCCCTGAATTTAAAGATGACTCATAAAATACACGACACAGTGACTCAAAGACATTCTCCATAAAGAATTGAAACACAATGTTAGTTCTACTGAGAGTGATGTGAAATCAAAGCACACTGATATTCATGCTGTATGAGTGATTACCACAAAGACAAAAAAACATCTGGACCGTGAAACGATATTAAAACAAGATGGTGGTGGTTGTTAATTACATGAATAAACATCTGCCAGCTCTGACACTGATCTTACCATCTACATTAGAGCGCGAGCAGTCCGGTACAGCAGCATGGAGACAGAGCAGCGGTTAGGAGAGGCAGGTAGAGAGACAGGTAGAGAGACAGACAGGCCACAAATCAAACATGAGGTTTGTCATGTTTCTCTACGGCAGGTTCAGCCAAGCAGCTCTGCATCGGCACCGCTCGGCAACCTGGAAACCTTCCAGCTCCAGGTTACAGCAGGGTGCAGGAGTTTAGTTTAAAGGTGTGTGGAGTCTTGAATGATTTGGAGGTTAGAGACTGCAGGAAGTGACAGCAGGACAAAGGGGGGGGGGGGGCAGAGAGATGGACTGGGCAGAAAGCATTCAGATTATGAGAATAACAAAAGTGTCCTCACCACTCCACTTTGTGATTTGGTCTTTAGGTCCAGCTTCACAACTCCAAAGCCTGGAGGGTTTCAGGAGACAGAGTTGTGTGTGTTAGCGGTAATCGAGCACAAGATGAAACTAATAAATCACATACAAGAAGATTCAGAGAAACAGTTTGACGTTTTAGGGGAAATATGTTCATCCAGATAATCAGTACAAGGATATAATGTAAAGCTGGAACCAGGAGACGTTATCATTTTAACGAGCTGGCAGGCTGATTTTCTTTTATTCTTTGGACAGCTAGAGCCAGGCTAGCTGTTTCCCTGTGTTTCTATTCTTTATGCTAAGCTAAGCTAACTGTCTCCTGGCTCCAGCTTCACATTTAACATTTTAATTCTAAAATAACTGTGTCGAGGTTTCATTTTAAAAAATCTGTTCTGTTTTTCTGAATTAACAAGATTATTATGTCAGAATTACTTGAAACGTTTTTGTGGGGAAATATTTGCAATTTTTTCTGAATTAGAAAGATAATTGTCTCGAAATTACAAGATTTTTTTTTATTGGAAAAAAATCTAATTGACGAGATGATATTGTATATTCTCGTTTTTCTGAATTAACAAGATTGTTCTCAGAACTGAAACATTTTTGTTGAAAAAAATTGAATTTTTTTCTGCATTAATTAGCAAGATAATTGTCTCGGAATTACAAGAAAAAATTTCGGATTCATCGTGTGCTGCTATTTTGTCCCTTTGATGCACCCTTGCATGTCGTCAAGCTGCCGCGGTGGCTTCCTGCTTGTAAAATAAGACACCACTGAGCTTCTGAATGACTCAGCTTACATTAAAAAAACAGCTCAGTTGATGAGTCTAGAGCATGTGAGCGGAGCGGTGCGGGTGAAAATTTCCGCTCCTCGCTCGCAGACCTGTCACTTTGCGCCACTCGTCCGCTCCGCTTGGTTCTGCGCATTCTTCGCTCCACTCCATCATAAATTTTATCCCGCTCCACTCGCTCACCACTCCGCTCAAAATAACTGCGTCATACTACCCTAACCTGTAATCTTCTATTCACAAATAAAACTGGGTCTGCCCATTGGTCTGACATCCCATTGTTCTGACCATATTAAACCCATTGTTCATGATGCCTGTGGTTAAGGTCTGGTTAGGTTTAGGCACAAAAACCACTTGGTTAGGGTCAGGAAAAGATCATGGTGTGGGTTAAAATGAAAAAGAAAGTGACAAACACATAAGCCGTGAGCCTGCTCCGCCTCAAGCCTTTCCCAGCTGACCCAGAGCCGGTCGCGCCGCACCATCAAGGCAGAAATACGCCCACCGGGAGCCGTTCAGTACCGTGGAAAGCACCCCCACACAACCCCGACCCCAGAGTTAATAACAGGAGGTTATGGTATTTCACTCTCTTCTCTCTATGACACTTGTATCTCGACCAGTAGCCTACTTTTGTTGCGTTGCTGATCCTCTATGGTAGACAAATACAGTAATAATCACATATCGGAACAACGGGACGTCAGACTAATGAGAGGTCGGACTAATGAGAGGTCGGAACAATGCTATGGCACCAATAAAATATGAGTTTGGTAGGTTCTCCGGGGAAGCCCTCTCGCCTCTCCCCGCAGTTAGCGACTGTTCTACACGGTACCACTGGCAGGGTGGAAATAGTCAAAGTGTAGAGGAGACAGACCAGGTTAAGCGGCCGACCTCCGAAGCCCTCTCGCCTCTCCTCGCAGTTAGGGACCGTTCTCCAAGGTACCGCTGCTTCTCTTCTCAGTTTCTTTTCTCAAGTACACAGTAAACTCCATAGTTTTGAAAGAAAATAGTGTGGGTGTGCGCAGGTGCAAAGATGCATTCTGGGTGGGGCATGAGCGACCGGAGCGAAATTGGAGCGAGAGACAAGGCTCCGCTCCACCTTTAAAAAAACTAGCCGCTCCTCGCTCAACACAAAATCCTCCCGCTCCCCACTCCGCTCCCCGCTCACATGCTCTGGATGAGTCAAAACTAATCTGCACCTTGCACCGGAATTAAAGAATCACTCATTTGGGCTCACGCCTACAAGCTGAGCACACACAGATGTCAGCGGATAACCACATTGCCAAAGTCGGCAAGGCACTATTTTGTCGTGAGTGAATCGCTTCAGATCTGTGGATGAAACTAAAACGAAGAAGTTGACTAGACCGCTTGCTAAATGGGTGGCAACTGACTGCAGACCAGTTAACATCGTGGACGACTCTGGTCTAATGGTCGTCCTCAGGTTGACATGTCGTGACCAGTCAGAAGCCTTATTGTCGTGGGGATCAATAGTTTCACACATATAGGACCTGAAAGCAACTAAACTAGAACTTCTAAAAGTGCAAATGCTGTTGCACTAATCGAGGATCATTGGACGTCAGCGAGTAATCAAAATTATCTTGGAGTAACTGCACACCAGAGTGACACGGATTGGACATTGCACTCCTTTGTTTTAATGGTTTGATTCCCAATCAAGGAACTCTGTTAAGAACTGCTTTACCTTGTTAATACGGTCTTCAAAACTGTTTTGAAATGCAAAATAATGGAATTATAAACATGTGATTAATCAGGATTAGCTACTGACAATCGGAGATAACTGTTTGACGGCCTTCTTTGGCCCACTCCAGCTCCAACACTGCAGACCTACTTTAAAGCTAGACACTTAATTTAATCTCTGGTGGACTGTTTGCTCTTCAGATTGCCCCACTGCCTCCAACACTCCTCAGTCTGTTCATATCATCTGCACACTGCAGAGCAGTCTGAACAGCCAGACTCCCTGAAAGACCAGATTTGATCAGTCTCTGTGTTCCAGGAATGTCACAAAGGTTAATAATTCACTCACTGAGCTGAAATGTTACTCACCGTAGCCCTTGCTGAATATATCCTTGGCAGCCTTGCCCAGGTCTGAGTATGCCGGAGGGACAGCCATTGTGCTGCAGGAGATAAAGTCAGTAATGTGATCAGTGCCACTCACTCTTAGTTTAAACCAAATCTCAATTAACACGTTAGAAAGAACACATTTCACCTTTAATTACACTGCACCTTATGTTTGATACTACACCTGCACTGCCTGCTGTGTTCATACTGTATTTATAAAGTGTAATCAACCCCCTTATAATAATAATACCTCTTACTGTCTGTTACACCTTCTGTATATCACTCTGTATATCATTCTGTAGATCACTCTTTAACATGACTCTGCACTTTACTGATTTGTTTTTATACTTCTGGTCAGATGCTTAACTGCATTTTGTTCCTCAGTACCTGTACTCCATGCAATGACAAACAATCTAACCTAATCCCATCATCATCATCATCTTCAGCACTGTCATCATCAGCCAGTCACAGTGTACGGAAGCAGATTTGTGTCAATATTATTTGTGTGAACAGATCTACAATCTGTGTGTTACTGTGTCATCTGTAAATATAAAACACCGTCCACGAATACAAGATTGTTAAACTAAAAAAATATAAAACAGATCTGCAAATTCAAAAATATGGAGACAGATTTGTGTCAATATCATTTGTGTGAGGAGACAAACAATCCGTGTGTAAATGTGTAACCTGCAAATATAAAACTTTCACAAATACAAAATAGATTTGTAAACTCACAAAAATATGTTGCCAATATAAAACAGATACACAAATACACACACACACATATCTATATAAATATATATAAAAAATATGTTAAAATCATTTCGAGCTGATGTGTTCAAAGAAATATTTTTAACTGTATGCCCTGTTTGCTTTTTCTTTTTGTGTCATTTTGTTTTTTGTTTGTTTTTTATCCTTTTGGCTAATTCTGGCATATTTTACACCATGTGTATTTATTAATTTGCACTAGGGCTGCAACGATTAGTCGACTAATTGATGACTAATCAACTACTAAAAAACCAAAACCCTTTGGCGTGAGTACGAAACAAGACATTAGATGACATCATTTTGGGGTTTGGGAGAGACAGACCGACATTTTTCAACATTTTAACACATTTTTCGATAAAATGATTAGTCGACTAATCGAAGAAATAATGGACAGGTAAGTCGACAATGAAAATAATCGTTAGTTGCAGCCCTAATTTGCATTGTCCCTTCTTAAACAGTCTAAACTACAAAAAAAAAAAATAATAATAATTCAGCATGTGTAAAAATGCAATCTGCAAACACAGAATTGGGATTCACAAATAAAAACTGAATTCACAAATATCTGTTTGAGAGTTTTAAATGTCAAAAAGACATTCACAAATACTTTTCATTTATTTGTAAATTAATCAAATCTATTCACAGACTTATCTTTTATCTATTTGTTGAATCTATCTGTGTATTTGCAGCTGTGTTTTATATTTGCTAAGTTGTTTGTTTTTGGGTTTTTTTTTCTGGTACAAACGATCTACGCCACGGTTGCGTGTCTTAACGTTGCCACCACAGCATGGCTGTAAAGCCATGTCGGCATGATGATGTTCTATAGCCTCATTTAGCCTCTTGTTAGCAACCACCTTTTTTAAGACACATTAAAGCTTCAAAATTCACTGCTAGGACTTTACTGACGGATTTTATGTGGTAGAACAAAACGTGAACGTCTCTTAAACTTGTGTGAACCACAGCTCTGAATTCAGGCTACTAACCAAAACCGAGACGAGGGAACTGGGAGCTAAAATGCTAACTCATTTCTGGGTTTTAGGACTCATTCCTAATTTTGACTGTGTTGCAATATGCTGAATAATGTGAAAACATATAGCCTATTGTGCAATATCAAGATTCATTTCCTTTTTTCAATTGCAAATAATGAACATCTCTTGTAATCTCTAATGCAATGCAGTTTTCAGTCCGATCATCTCACAGCAAATTATTGCAGCAGATTGTTTCTAGTGGACTGTACAGGCTATTGATTTGATAAATCTACTTTACTTTATATTTGCAGTATTAATAATTTACATAATAAACAATCAATACTTGGAGCAGTGTATTGATACAATATTAATGCACAAAAATATTGTGATACAATGCTGTATCGATCCCCCCACCCTTACAAGTAATATTGAGACAAATCTACCTCCATACATGAGTCTTCCATGATGGTGCACTAATATCAGAGCTTGTCCTCACTGAAGGCCGTTAGCCGCTCACAGAAACTAAATGTGGTTTTGTCACATTCACCCAAACAATACAGTCATTAAGGAACCAAATCTCCCAGTGAGCTCCAGCAAAGAGGGAACAAGCTGTTCCTTCAGAGGAAGCTGGGATGCTAACAACAACTGGGCACAGCAGAGGAGCCTCTGGGGCCCCTACAGAGCCACGCACCCCAGTAATGAAGTTTAACCTTCAATATGTGCACAGATATCTGCAGATATATAAGATATAGCCAAGCTAGCAGGTGTTATCAGAACAAAAGGCTCTCAGGGTTGTAAAAGGGCCCTGATCCTGAGGATGCTGCTGAAACAAATGCACATTACAACTGGAGGAGAGTGAAATGTTTGAGTTAAATGATCAGGTGAACAAAGCTGTGTCTCCTGCATTAATGACTGCACGGTGCTGCAGCTTGTATTTGGGACAAAGGACAGCAGATGGGCCAGTCAGAGAGGTGTGTGAGGGGGGTGGGGGGCCGACAGCTAGCATGTTAGCTGCTCTGTGAGCTGCAGGAACAAGATAACTAACTAGTAATAAAAGCTCACAACATATAGACACTGTTACTGACTGTTACAGCAGGTTAATTAATGTGCATTGTACTCTGCTTGCATCCTTCTACTAACACACATCACAGTTAGCATGTAGCAGGACTCAGACCTTATTAAAGAACACATATAAGCTAATAAAGTTGCTAAATGCGAAGCTAACATGACTGTGTGCACTATCACAAGGGAAACCTGTCAGCCGAGGATTAAACTGTGCATTACAAGGCTAAACATCATTACATAACACAGCTACCGTTAGCTAAACCTCTCAACATGCTAGGTGGCTAACCTTGGACAGAAGCGGACCGTTATCCAGCAGCAATAATAACGCAGACCGTTATTCACCTGTCATAAAGCTCAGCGCTGTATTTTAAATTTAATAAATGTATTTTTATTGTCCTCACCGGTGCTAAGGTGTCTGGAGGGGGAGCCTGCGGAGCCTGGAGTGTCCCTGGTCGTGATGCTGCTGAGTGAATTGACAGCTACGTTAGCTTAGCATAAGAGGGGACAGGGCACAATGAAGGAGACATATGGCGCATGCGCGGTGTCAGCGAGAGAAGCGAACAAAGAGTCGATATCAAGGCAAGAGATTAATCCCACAGAGCAACATCACCTGAGCAGAGTTACAGGAGAGAGAGACGTTTGATTTGAGACAGAATTCAATAAATTAAAATGTTTTTATTAATTTACAGTGCAGTTGTTATATATATTTATATCTGTACATACTAAACCACCTTTGCTGTCTTTGTTTTCAGCTGTATGTCTATTTCTGTGTAAGTACATCGAGAGCAAGAAAAATGTTCCACATGTGCAGTGGCGTAAGGAAGTTATGACGGGCCCCTGTGCACACTATTATGACGGGCCCCTGTGCACACTATTATGCATCAGGGTTGGAAAGGAGCACCCATGACCCACCAAATTCGCCTGCATTTGGCCGGTGGCAGGTGGATTTTATGAAGCTACGCGCCACGGTGTCGGGCAAATAATTTAACAAATGATTGAATTGTTCCATGAAAAAAATCGCCTACCGCCTACCTACTTTTTTTTATACAGAATGTGCCTTTTTCGGGGCAATGGGGGGCGTGAGCAAGTAACAAAACGTGTAGCTCAGTGTGTGACGTAAACAGTGACGTGGGAGGGAAGCCGCGGCTGGTCAGTCCTTCGGCAATTCTCTCGTAAGTCGGCCCGTTCTTCACCGTCCCCGTCATCTGACGGTTAATGGCCTCTTCGTTTGCGAGGACAAGGAGGGCGCGCAATTCCTTGTCTCCCCAGTTGCTCATCTTTACAGTGTCTGTCAGGTTTGTGTTTCCCTCTTGCTACTAGCTGCTCGCTAATTCCTGCTATCAGCTGTTTCCTGTTTATCCACCGCCAGTGGCTCGTACATGAGGCGTCATCAACAGCTCCTCCCACAAGTCATCAACAGCCCCTCCTGTGGCAGAAGGCCGCCTCTAAAACTAAAACTAAAAGGGTTCCACCAATGTGTCTACCCTACGAGGAGGAAAATTGTGCACCTTGGATCAACTCGCCAATCCGCTCGCAGCTTGCCGGCAAAACGACCCAACATTCGCCTAAAATCTGGCAGTGTAAAAGGGGCTTAAGTAGTGTAGTGTGTCCTCACAGCGTCTTCTCGACCAATCACAAACCAACCAACCAACTGCTGTAAAAGAAGATGAAGAAGAAGATTCACAAATAAAGTAGCGTTAGCAAATAACGTTAGCATGGGTGGGTTTGTCCGTCTACTTTGACGGAGTATTTTTAAGGACCACGGGGCGACATGTTATGCCTGATTTATGGTTCTGCGTTAAATCAACGACGTACCTATGTTGTAGGGTACGTGGCTATGCAGGAGGCTCGCCGTAGCCCCCGGCGTAGCCTGACGTGCACCTCCCAAAAAATGTAACTACATGTCGAGGCGACACAGACCCAGCACAGACTGAGAGGGCTGTGATTGGTTTGCTTGGTAGCAACGCATTTCCGGTTCCGTATTTCCAGATTGTGCCATCCCCGCCATCTTTAAACATCTTCTGTTACGATATAGATGTTGCAGTATTAACATACTTTCTTCGACATCCAACAACTCCAACTCCAGCAAGATTCTCTCTCTCTCGGTCGCCATTGTTCACTGTTTCCGGGAAAGCCGGAAGCTAAACAAAGAATCAACTAGAGACGACGATAACCATTCAGGAAAGGAACGCAGCCCCCTACCGCTCTGGCGGTGAATTGCACCGCGACAAAATGGAGTGACGGAGAAGTTTGAAGGGTTCACGACAGCGTCTCAGCAACGACGGAGGTACGTCGTAGGTACGCCGCAGGACCATAAATCAGGCTTTACTGGTACAAAGCGAGTGGCTGATGTCACAGAGCCCACACAAGACGAGACAACTCCAGTTCGTGAACCAAAAGTAAAAAGGCGATTTTTAATATTCATATGTGATAACACAATGCTGTCTGGTAGAATTGTTCTCCAGCACTGTTGTGCATGTATTGTCTTGACACAAATAGAGACTTGACACTGGACAGCATCAACACACATATTACCCAGCGATCATCACTGTGTATCTGACAAGAATATCAAAGAAAGTTCCCAGAAAAAAATGTATTTTGATTTTCACGCAGTAAAGTACAGCTTTTTATATTCATATAATGCATAACGTCACATAAAACTGCACCTTGATACAGAGCCAAGATAGAGAGACAAGGAGACAAAAAAACTGACCAACAAAAACACTCCTGAATCACTTGCAAGGGCCCTCTCTCTCTACGGGCCCCTCCTACCCAGGGGCCCCAGTGTGTCTATATCTACGCCCCTGTCCGTATGTGCACACTTGGCCATTAAAGCTGATTCTGTTTCAATGGAGCTCCCGGTCAGTGGGGTTGAGTGCAGGGGCCTCTGACCCTGTGGGCCCCTCCTTTGTGGCTGACCCAGTGGGGGTTGGCCTGAGGCACAGGGGCAGATATCATAAATCTGATTATAAAAGGTTTCCAAGAAAAACAATCCCAAATGTGCCAAAGAAAGAGGTGGAAGACGTATTCAGATCTTTTACTTCAGTAAAAATAGCAACACCACAGAGTATAAATACTGTGCAACAAGTAAAAGTCCTGCATTTAAAAAATTAATTCAGTAACAGTACAAAATAATGAGACTAAAATATAGTTAAAGTATGGAAGGTAAAAGTACTCATTGTGCAGAATGGTGTGTTTCAGGATGTGTTCATCACTTTAATGTTGCAGCTACAAGTGCAGCTCATTTTTATTGGGCTACTTAACACACCGCTTGGAAGGGACAGTTCACACCAAAATCAGAAACACATATTTCTCCTCTTACCTGTAGCAATATTATCAGTCTAGGTAGTTTTGGTGTGAGTTGCAGAGTGTTGGAGATATCAGCTGTAGAGATGTCTGCCTTCTCTCCAGTATAATGGAACTGGATGGCACTCAGCTTGTGGAGCTCAAAGTGCCAAAAAAATAAATGTGAAAAACTCAACATCAGTGTCTCTGTCCAGAAATCATGACCTGGTTACTCAAGATAATCCACAGACCTTGTTGTGAACAGTTTCATGATGAAATTATCTCCTCTTCAGCAAGTTACACCTGTTGACCCCATCACCATCTTATAATGACGAAAACTCTGTGTGTGTGTGTGTGTGTGTGTGTGTTCCACGTTTTTCTCCTCACTGACTTGGTCAATCCATGTGAAATTTGGCACAGTGGTAGAGGGTCATGGGAGGATGCCAATGAAGCAATATTACATCAATTGGCCAAAGGGGGGCGCTATAGCAACCCATTGAAATGTCAAACTTTGAATGGGCATATCTCATGCCCCGTATGTGGTAGAGACATGAAACTTTGCACAGAGATGCCTCTCCTCATGAGGAACACATTTGCCTCAAGAACCCATAACTTCCGCTTATATAGATTTTCCGCCATTTTGAATTTTTTGAAAAACACTTCAAATGGATCTCTTCCTAGGAAGTTTGAGCGATCTGCATGAAACTGGGTGAACATAATCTAGGGACCAATATCTAAAGTTCCCTCTTGGCAAAAGTTGGAAAACTTACTAAAACTGAGCTTCTATAAGGCAATGAATATTGCGGAGGGCGTGGCTCATCACATAAAGGTGTATAACATCTCAAGGGTTTCACCCATCACCACGCAACTTTGTAGGCATATGACCACACATAATCTGAGGGGACCCCTCCATTATTGACCCCATCAAACAAAATGGGGGCGCTAGAGAGCTCATTTCTTATCTAGGCCTAACCGCCATATGGATTTTTACTAAACTTGGTAGATATGTAGAACAGGACGCCTCAAGGTGACTGGAGAAATTTAACTCTAATTGGCAACTGGGTGGCGCTATAACAACAGAAAAATGCTTCAAAATGGCTAAAATGCGACCGATCGCTGTGGCTCCCCCTGTGGACCAATGTTGGTGTTGTTTTCTAATGTTTGGTATGACTAAGTCATGGTATGGTATGCTGTACATAATCACGGAAACTGTCAGTGTGTCATTCTGTCAGTCAGTCATTCTGTCTGTCCCACGTTTTTCTACTCACTGACGTGGTCAATCTATGTGAAACTGCACATAGGCATTGAGGACTGGCATAGGTAGAAGGTGACAAAGCTACCAGTGGGTATGGACTCGTCTAAAGGAAGCTGTGATAATGCATTGTGATATACTGATCTGTATTTTCTATTCTATCAGTTCTATTATGCAAAGCACCAAAGGTTATCATATAAGTGCAGTGGAGTAAAAAGTACAATATTTCCCTCTGACACTCAGTGGAGTTGAAGTATAACATAGTGCAAAATGGAAATAGCCACGTACAGTATGAATACCTCAGAAATGTGCTGAAGAACAGCGCTGGTTCATTTGTTTAGTCATTGTCAGAGGAGAAAGAAGAAGCCCACTCAGATCATCATAAAAGTAGAGAGTAAAACTCCTGGAAATGGAAACTGGAAATTGTCAAGTAAAGTAGAAGTACCTCAAAACTGTATCACAACACCTGAGGAAATGTTTAAGGGGCTGTTTGTTATTTATAAGGGAGAAGTATGTCAAAGAAGTTTTAAACACTGTGAAGGGACTTGTGGTTTTTATTTTGGCTTAGGGGAGGGGCATACAAGTTTAGATTATTGTATTTTGTACTTTCACTCACTGGCCACTTTATTAGGTACACCTTGCTAGTACCAGGTGGGACCCCCTTTTTAATTCTTGGTGTCACAGACTCAACAAGGTGCTGGAAACATTCCTCAGAGATGTTGGTCCATATTGACATGATGACATCACACAGTTGATCCATGATGAGAATCTGCCGTTCCAGCACATCCCAAAGGTGCTCTATTGGACTGAGATCTGGTGACTGTGGAGGCCATTGGAGTACAGTGAACTCATTGTCATGTTTGAGATGATGTGAGCTTTGTGACATGGTGCGTTATCCTGCTGGAAGTAGCCATCAGAAGATGGGTACACTGTGGTCATAAAGGGATGGACACGCTCAGCAACAATACTCAGGTAGGCTGTGGTGTTTAAACCATGCTCAGTTGGTACTAAGAAAATCTCCCCCACACCATTACACCACCAGCAGCATCCTGAAGCGTTGATACAAGGCAGGATGGATCCAGTGTATGCTGACGGTGTTAAGTGGCATTTTGTGTGTTTCTTGGTGTGTGTAGATGAAGTTGCATGAGAACCAGAGGAATCAGGCGAAAGGGGAGGAGTCACATGTGCAGATACATGAAGCAAACTTAAGGTAGGAAAAAAAGAGACAAGAAATTAAAAAAAATAAATAAGAAAAATTAATAAATGATGTAAAGAACAGTCCCTTATTGTCTCTGTGCAGCAGTGAGCTGACTAACAGCTCCCTCTAGAGGCCATCAGTGGTATTTAAGGTGGGCGGGACAAACTGCAGCCTGAGTCAGCGCTGTGCAGAGGAACTCTCCGGTCCACCTTAAATGTTTGTGACAAACATGGCGTTTTTTTCCGTCTCGGGGGAAAGTATGGTGTCCTGCCCCGCCCTGACTGAACACAGACTCGACGGAGGGAACCTCACAGTGAAAAGTCCACAGACACTATCAAGTCCACATCTGCACCCAGAGTCCAATGGTCAGGGTCTGCACCGGAGCTGCTTCCTGCACACAGCACACACACTGCATGAGAGGACACTGACTGCTGCTGACTGGCTCTGAGCACACCGAGCACAACCTGCTGACACATTACAGAGCACAAAGTTAGGCCGAGGTCTCGCAGTCATGTCCGGGCAGCCTCGATTTGTGAGTCCGTTTCACAGACCTCAGTGTTTGGCTGCTGCAGCTCCGGCGGGGGGAGCTAAGTTCACACACCCGGGGAAGGCGATCCTGGCAGGTAAGAAAGTTTCTGCACACACACACACACACACACACACACTCAGAGGCGGAAGGTGAAGTTGTTTACAAGTTAGAGCTGTGAGGCAGGGTGAGCAGAGGGGAGCACAGCTGTTTACTGAGAGTGCATGCTGCTTAAACACACAGGAGAGGTGCACTGTGCTCTGCAGGCACGAGACACTGGGTTTAAAGTCAAATAAAAGTAACTGTGATATCTGCAGCTCCAGATTGATGCATAACCTCTGCACACAGCAGCTTGTTGGACAGTCTGTGTGTGCTGGGACCTTTAAACTTCCCCCACACAGAAGCCTGTCTGACATGAACTGATCACTTGCCTCATTAGTCAATCAGTGACAGATGCTCAAACCTCTACAGGGCAATCATTACTGGCAACATTGCAACACTATAAGAAAGAGCAACCGTTGCATCTGATGATGTTCGAACCTCCAAAGTTCAGAAGAGAAACTTCATGTGTCTGTATAATTCTCTGCTCCCTGCCGTCAGCAGTTCAGTGGGTGTTTTGCCGTGACCTGGTGACCTCACACTGTGTGCACAGAGGCCGCCGGGTCTCCATGTTCAGTTCCACGAGCCACGATGACAAAGCACATTGCTCCGTCAGCCTCTGTGCACGTTCACCTGGGTTACAACAGGCCTGTCACAAGCTGAGTCCAGGAGCTTTGGCAAAAGGGCCACGAAAGGTCAGAGATGATTATCCATGCTGTTTGATCTACGAGCAGGGCCACATTAAAGCTGCTGAAGAGGAGGGTGGTTTTCAGATGTTGTGTGCTGTAGTCGGTGAGGTCGGTCCAAAATACAGGATGACAAAGCATCTATCAACAAGTCACAAGAGAATAATTACATCACACGCCAAGGCTTTATGAAACCACTAATCCCTCTGAAACAGACAGCAGCCCCTGTTACACTGAGGGTGAAATGAGGACTGAACCTAATGTATAATTATGTTTAATTTATTTTTGTCACACACATAAAACTCTTTGCCTCAAACCACAAAAATGCAAAAAATAACAACCCAAATTTAAAGGTACAGTTTTGACATCTTGGTAAATATATACACAGAGTTGTAAGAAAACATCGACATCACCTGCGTCCGTCTCTTGCGAAATATGAAGCTAATGCTGCGTAACATTTACGTCTGAAGTCCAAAGTCAAAGCTGGGAATGACGTCACAGCGGTGTCGACCACGCGCAACAAATCAGAATGCCAATATGTTGCCAGCAATATCAGTTGATAACAACGCATTACGGTGTATTTTGCATCACTAACACTGTCGCAACATGACCACAGATAAAAATTGGACAGTACGATGCGTACGACTGATTTAATGAGACACTAATAAGACAGAAATGCTTAAAAGTACATTTCTTAACATGGACGATTTAAAATGACTTAAGTATCATAAATAAATAAATAAATATATAAATATTGACAGGAATAATTAAACAAACAAACAAACAATTATGTTATAAATATTCTGAATATTAAATACATATTAAATATATTATATAAATACAGAAATTATTAAATTAATTAATGCTGAAATACGAAATTAGTAAATAAAAAAAGAAAAGAATATAAAAAATAATTAAATAAATTTTGAAAAAAATGTTGAAATAAATGCATAAACAAATACAATTTAAAAAGTAAATATTTAAACCAGGCACACATAAAAAAATATCGCAAAGAAATTTCTACATTTTTGTACATCTACATTTATTTATTTCTGTATTTCTGTGTCTGTATGATAATGATACTTAATTATTTTATAGCATTTATTTCTTCTTTTTATGTATCTACTTTAATCCATGTATTAATTATTTATTTATTTATACTTCTGTCATTTCCATCCTCTGTATTTTCATTATCGTTGATGCGTGGAGTAGCCATCTTGGATTTTGCAGTCAGGGTTAGTAAAGCTCCTCCAACTATCAAGTCGGAAATCAGAAATCAAATGACGTCACACCTGAGTCGACCGTACGCAAGTCAGAAAGCCAATATGATGTTAGCAATACCAGTTCAAGCCAGGTAGCTACTGTTAGCAATATCAGGTGACAACAATGCGTTACGTTGTATTTTGCGAACACGCGACGAACACTGTCGCAACATGACCACAGATAGAAGTTGGACAATACTGTGTGTGAATGTTTTAATGAGACACAAATAAGACAGATGTGCTAATAAACAGAATATTACTACAGCTTTCACTACTGTTGATGCACAGAGTAGCCATCTTGGATTTGAGTTCGTGGTTAGTGAGGTGCCTTTGACTTTCCGAATAAAAAAAAAAACAACTTTTTGGGGGCGTTAGAGTTGAAATATTCAACCGGCAATATATTCCGATATTCCGACTTCCCAGTGCAAATGAATCGCACCATAAAGTTAGGAGATGGTTAGCCTAGCTTACTATCCCGGAAACAGGATGGCCTGACTACGTCCCAGGAAATATCTTCACTAAAAAACACTTTGTAGTGTTTATACTTAACTTTTAAAATAGACAACATATATTGTATTCCTTAGTCAGCTTTTGTTGCTGGTAACTGGATTTTGTTACCTTCGCACAAAGCTAGGCTAGCTGTTTCCCTTGGTTTCCAGTCTCTATGCTAAGCTAAACTAGCTGGTTGTAGCCTGATGTTTAGCGTACAGACATGAGAGTGGTTTCAGGGTTCATCTAACTAGTGAGATTTAGAGCTGGTAGCTGGATTTTGTTACCTTCACACAAAGCTAGGCTAGCTGTTTCCCTGTGTTTCTAGTCTCTATGCTAAGCTAGGCTAGCTGGCTGTAGCTTTATGTTTAGCATACAGACATGAGAGTGGTTTCAGGGTTCATCTAACTAGTGAGATTTAGAGCTGGTAGCTGGATTTTGTTACCTTCACACAAAGCTAGGCTACCTGTTTCCTTCTGTTTCCAGTCTCTATGCTAAGCAAAGCTAAGCTAACTAGCTGCTTGCTGTAGCTTCATATTCAGTGTACAGACATGGGAGTGGTGTCAAGGTTCATCTGACTGTTGTCAAACATGTCCAAAAATGTCCCAGTATTTATTGACAGTGTGATTATGAGTAACGTTTACACAAACATTATCTAATCCATGACAATAACCAGTGTAGCTTCTTGTAATTACAGTAATCACACACTTTACAAGCCTTAATTATGAGAGCATAAAACAACAGGTATCACAGAGTGGTCATGTGTTTGATCTTGAATGATTAAAGGTACATTTTGTGTTGAAAGTGTCTTTAAACAAAGTCTGAAACTTTAAAAACACCTGTTTATTGTCCGTACGTGTCGGACTCTTCTATATCTTTTTCCAGCTTGAATACACGGACACAATGCAGGTACCACACATAGGTTTGTTTACAGATGATGATGATGATGATGTGGACTGTTTTTTGATGCAAGTCTAATGAGTAGGTGCAGCTACAGCTGTGTAGAGCCAGAGGAATGCTTGGGTGTGTAGCCAGCATGCACAACAAACATTGTAATCTTGTTTTTGCATGAGCACAACTGGTGTGTTGTAATTCTCTGCATGGCATTTTGCAAGAGAGAGTGTGTGCATGTTAAAGCAGCAACAAAGGGCCCTTTTTAAAGAGCGAGGATGAATTTAAGCTCGTAAGTTAACCACATAGCCTCCACGTTTCACTGTAAAGCTTTTTAAAGTTTTTTTTTAAAATAGAAAATGTTTTGTTTTAGCAACTACTCGTTAGTCGAGGCCCGTAGAAGTATTTTGAGATGAAAGTACAAGTATGGACGTCAACTTCTCACTTGTTTGCTCCTTTACTGCTGCTTCATGCAAATGTTTCCAGCTCACCAGAGGAGTCACACCACTCTCAGGCTGTGGGTCTGTGGGTCTGTAATGCACAGTATGTGCCCTGAAGGCCACACACCCCCTTGAGTTGGAGTCGGGCCAGGGGGAGTATCTGTAGGCAGGATCGTACTGAGATCAGCCGAACCAATCAGCTGCAGGCTGCGTGTTTGCTGTTGAACGGCAGATGTGTGACATCCAGGGTTTTAAGGTGGAGCGGGTTCACGCTGTAGATGAGACGCTGTGCATAACACACTCACACACACTGTAGACTTCCTGTGATGATGACTAACGTGCACCCTGCTGACAACTATTAAGGGAAACTTTCAAGTCATCTCCTCAGACTTTAACCTATAAACTTTTTTTACACACCTATGGTGTTATTTATTTGATATTAACTGTGTCTATATTTATTATTATTTTACCTCTTTAAAAAACTGTTCTACTTTGTTTTAATGATCCTTGTTTTGCATCTGTGTTTTTATTTTTTATTAATTTATTATTTTTTGGGAAGCACGTTTTATTGCATGTATTTGTATGAAATTCTGGATTAATATAATTAAATTTATTCACTGTGAAAAAAGCTGTGGAAATTTCTCAACATGTAAGTTGGTGTAATAAAGTTTGCCAGTTACAACCAAAATTTGTAGTTTGTAAAACAAATATTTAAGTGAACACAGTATATTTTTTAATGATTTATATTTTGTTATTTTTCCCATTTTTTTTAAACACAGTATAGACAAAATGTAAATAACAAACGTCATATTACACTTTATAAAATACAAAGAAAATACAATAAATGAATAAATATTTCTAAAAAATTAAGGGTGTCACGATACATTGATATTGACGATAACTGTTATATTAAAAAATTTAAATATTATAAAATTTTATAAATGTTATACTGATGAATATTCTAAATATATTTTAAAAAGAAATATTTATTTATTTATTTAAATAATCCAGTACCTCTTAAATTTGTTTTTTATTTATTTATTTTTTTAACACACTTACTTTCCCTCCCTCCTCCAACACCATCTGATGGCCTTTTCACTATCCACTAATTGTAATTACTCTTTTTGTGCGCTTTTGTACACTCGTATTCTGAGTGTAATTAATTTGCCAAAAAAAAGAGACAAAACGCACACTAAACAAAGCTGAAGATGAATTTGACTGTTAGCTTTTAAAAGAAAAATTCTATAGATAATGCGATAACATCATTATTGTGAAATCTTTTGTCCATGATAATTGTGTTGTAAAAAATCTGCTATCCTGACAGCCCAAAATTAAGTTAAATTAAATTAAATACATAAAGTGAAATAAACCGATGAAATAAGTTAAAAAAACAGGCCAAAATTATAATATTCTGTGTTGTCATTAAGTCTGTATGAGCACAACATCTCAAATAGATCCTGAATTATTGTGGATAGTTAAGAGTTTTCAAAGAAACACATATTTGTGTTGTAAAGTAGATCAGATGAAGATAAACTGCATTTTCATGATCAATAATTGTTTGTCGTTACACTGTCTGTCTGAATGCATCTTTCTCCCTGAAGTGCACTTGTGTGGTGTTGACAGTAAAACCTTTACAATGTTAATGCTTCCTGACTCTGAGTCTGAGTGTAACGGCGTGTTGTGACTGTTATTCCAGGCGGGATCGCAGGAGGCATCGAGATCTGCATCACCTTCCCCACAGAGTACGTGAAAACACAGCTGCAGCTCGACGAGAAGGCCAATCCTCCCAAATACAGAGGCATCGGTGAGTTCGTCTCCACCGTCTGTTTAAATTTGTTGTGAAACCTGTGAGTGTTGATGTTATCATGAGTCATTATAAGGCAACTACACTCTGTGGTCACTTTATTAGGAACGCCTGTTAAATCTGATGTAATCAAATAATGCAACAGCTCAGGCAGCAACTTCCACATTTACAAAGATAATGGTGTTTATATTCAACTGATGCGGTTGGAAAGGTATACATTTTTATTTACCTCTAATACATGTTTTGTTTACAAGGATTTTCAGGCCATACATAAATCAGTAGTTCAGTGGCTAAATTTCGATGCACATTTCTGGATGAGTAAATATACAAGAGTCGTAAAACAGTAAGAGACACACTACTATCACTACTACTACTAATAATAGTAGTAATAATAATAATAATAATTTGTATTATAGAAATAGTGATAGTGATGCAAACATTTTTCTTTTTCTTTTACTATTATAATACTTTTACTTTTTTTATTTTAATTGTTTTATTTTTATTTATTTACTTTATTTATTTCCACTATTATGATACTATGCGTATTCATTTTTATTTTCACTTTATTATTTGTATTATTTATTTTTACTATGATAATGCTGTTACGTAATTAGAATAATAATAATAATCATTATCATTATTATTTTAGTATTATAAAAGTGAAAAAAGTAAATATAAAATCATTAATATTATTATTATTGTTGTTATAATATAGAGACGGTGATAGCAATACAAAAAT